TCCATCTTTGCTCTTCAACACTTTAAAAAGGTCTTGTGCAGCAGATTTGCCTAATGCAATACATTGTTTGATTTCTTGACTGCTGCTTCTATGAGTGTTGATAGTTGATCCAAGAAAAATAAAGTCCTTGACAACTTACAACTTCAGTCTTTTCTCCATTGACAAGAATGTTGCTTATTGGTCCAATGGTGAGGATTTTTGTTTTCTTTACATTGAGATGCAATTCATACTGAAGGCTGTGCTCTTTGATTTTCATCAGTAAATATTTTAAATCCTCTTCACTTTCAGCCACCACTCATCTGTCAGTTTGTCATACTGTGGTGACTTGTGAGTTGCTGTGATTCTGGAAGCTATGCCACTGGTATTTTAAATACCAGCAGGGTTATGCATGGTGGACAGGTTTCAGATGAGCTTCCAGAAAAAAACAGACTAGGTAGAAGGAATGACAAACTACTTCCAAATATTTAGTTACTGAATACCTTATGAATAGCACAGAAACACTGTCAGATATAGTGTCGGAAAATGAGCCCTTCAGGTTGGAAGGCACTAAAAATGTGACTGGGGAAGAGCTGATGCCTCAAAGTAGAGATGACCGTGATAACACAGATGGAGCAAAGCCTGTGGGAATAAAGCCCACGGGACCTTCATTTGTTGATGGGGCACAACTCAAAATGAAGAGAAACAGCTGTAAACACCCATTAATAATCTGAACATGGACTGTATGAAATATGAATCTAGGAAAATTAGAAATTGTCAAAAATGAAATGGAATGCATAAGCATCGATATCTTAGGCATTAGTGAGCTGAAGTGGACTGGTATTGGCCATTTTAAATCTGACAACCACATGGTACACTATGCCGGGAATGACAAATTGAAGAGGAATGGTGTTGCATTTATTGTCAAAAAGAACATATCCAGATCAGTCATGAGGTACAATGCTGTCTGTGACAGGATAATATCCATGTGCCTATAGGGAAGACCAGTTAATACTACTATTATTCAAATTTACACACCAGCCACTAAAGCCAGTGAAGTTAAAATAGAATTCTACCAACTTCTTCAATCTTAAACTGATCAAACACTCAATTAAGATGTATTGATCATTACTGGTGATTGGAATGCAAAGCTTGAAAGCAAAGAGGAAGGATCAGTAGTTGGAAATATGGCCTTGGTGATAGAAATGATGCTGGAGATCGCATGATAGAATTCTGCAAAATCAATGATTTCTTAATTTCACATATAAAGTTAGTGATCTGTTTTTCCATCTCTTTAAAGAATGATGTTAGAATCTTGATTGGGATTTCATTATATCTGTAAATTGCCTTGGGTAGTGTTGACATTTCACGATGTTAAGTCTTTCTGTCCTTGAGCATGCTATAGTCAGTCTGTTTGGGATTTTGTGTATTAGTGTTTTATAGATTTCTTTGTGTAGTAGGTCTTTTGCTTCTATAGTTAGATTTATTCCTAAGTATTTAAAAGAGCTCTGGTAGCGTAGTGGTTACAAATCGGGCTGCGAGCCTTAAGGTCAGTGGTTCGAAACTACCAGCCACTCCGCGGGAGAAAGATGAGGCTTTCTACTCCCATAAAGATTTATACCCTCGGAAACCCTGTATAGGGTCGCTATGGGTCGGTACCGACTCGATGGCACTTAACAACAACAACAATTTCTTCTTTTGGGTGGCTATTGTTTTCTTGGTTTACTTTTCAGATCTCTCTTTATCAATGTAAAGGAATCTGACTGAATCTTTCAATGAGTTTTTTTGCTGAGTCTTTGGAATTTTATATGGTAAGGATCTTATCATTTGCAAATAGAATCTTATTTCTTCTTTGCCAATTTGGATGACTTTAATTAACTTTTCTTATAGCTCTGGCCAAGGCTTCCAGAACAATATTAATTGTGGTTGTTAAGTTCCATTGAATTGGTTCTGATGCATAGAGACCCTGCATATGGTTTCCAAAGAGCAGCAGATGTGTTTGAACTGCCAACATTTTGATTAGCAGTCCAGAGCATATCCTACAGCACCACACCAGGATTCCTCCAATATTAAATACATGATAAAGGGCATCCTTGTCTGGTTCCTGTACATAAAGGAAATGCTTTCAGTTTGTCTCCATTGAGAGTAATGTTGACTGTTGGCCTTATATATATGTCCTTCGTTATGCTGAGGCATTTCCCTTCTATTCCTGTTTTGTTCAGTATTTTTATCAGGACTGGATGTTGGATTTTGTTCAAATGCCTTTTTGGCATCAATCAATATTCTCATGAGGTTCCTTTCATTTGTTTTATTTATGTAGTGGATACATTAATTGTTTTTTCTAATATTTGAACCATCCTTGCATCTCTTGTGGGAATCCCGCTTGATCATGATATATTATTTATTTAATGTGTTGTTGAATTCTATTGCCTAGGATTTTGTTGAGAATTTTTGCTTCTATGTTCATGAAGGATATTGGAATATAATTTTCATTTTTAGTGATGTCTTTGCCTGGTCTGGGTATGAGTGATATCCCCGCTTCATAAAATATATTCAAGGGTTTTCCATCCTCTCTATGTTCTAGAATAGTTTCAATAAAATTAGTGTCAGCTCTTCTTTGGATGTTTGGTAGAGTTCACCAGTGTGTTCTGTAGACTTTTTTCTATTTACTTCTAAAAACTAACTACACCTGACCTGTAGTTTTCTCAATGAAAACAACAACAACAAAAAATATTGACCATTTCATGATATTTCTTGAGATACTTAGTGACATTCCATAAGCATTCACAAATACCATAGAGGGAGTAATGAACTTATTTTAATTGTACAAATTTGTCTTTACACCCATCGCTGCATTTGTGTATAACTCAAAGGTGTCTCTACCAAGTGCAACCACAGCAGAAAAAGGAAGAGATAGGGTACCCTCTCCACAGAGTTCGGTAAAACTCATACCTCTTCCAGAATAGTCCCATTTGAGTATACATAAATATCATGGTTTAAATGAAACTATACATGAGCTCTGGTTACGTAGTGGTTATGAATCGGAATGCTAACCTCAGGGTCAGCAGTTCGAAACTACCAGCTGTTCTTCAGGAGAAAGATGAGGCTTTCTGCTCCCATAAAGATTTACAGCCTCAGAAACCATGTAAATGGTCACTATGAGTCGGAACCGACTCCACAGGACATAACAACAACATACATCTGATGGTTTCAATGAGAGATATTCCAGGCTCATTAGAAATCATTAGATGACTTTTCACATAATAGCCACATAAAATTGTTTCAAATAATTTGTAAATATAGCTTACAGTAGGAGTTATCTTTTTGATGGAATTATTATGTCATCATACTTGTTACATGCGTTACTGCTTCTCTGGTGAACTTTATGATGATCTGGGTTTTGTATGGTTGACGATTTAGTATCTCATAAAGTTGTACCATATTTCATAAGTCTATAGAGTGAAAGAACTAAACAGGATATGTTTATTTGGGACATAGCATGACATTGTAGAAAGAGAAGGAGTTTGGGGGTGGGAAGGGTGTGTGATTCTGTCTAGGAAAACTAAGATTGCCTACTTCTGGCACCAAATTGTGCGGTGGATAACAATTTCCACTCTACATGCCAACTGCATCCTATGGAAATCTCTGCTTCCCTTGACTATTCAGCTCATACTCCAACTACCCAGCAGCCCTCTCTCTTATCCTAAGTTACTCAAAGCTAGTTCAGCATGTACTGACTAAGGATTACTGGCTTCAATCCCAGTAATCATTCCACTTTACACCAACCAGAATGAAATATGGGGTTTCTACCCACTTGGAATCCACATCATTCTCTCCATTTTAGACCAGCCAGTTCCTGCTACTTATATGAGTCTTATAATTTATTGGAACAACTCACAGAGCTCTTTGAAAACACCATACCTATAATATAGTTTTACTATAACAAAAAACAATACAGACAAAGAGACATATATGGCAAGGTCCGGGAGGGGACATAGAACAGAGTTTCTATGTCCCAAAGAGTCCAACCAGATCCTGAACCTTCCAAAGCCTTCACTGACTTCAACACTAGCCAGATAGATTACATCATGCCTCCTGAGACTTAGTCACCGTATCGCTCCCAGGTGGTCCCTCTTGTGTTGGTGAGTCCCTTACTCATTAACCTCAGGTATTGGTCCTGCTCTCAGGAATCAAGACCAGAGGCCAACTGGTCTTTCTGTAAGTCGATTCCATTTGTCATGATGTGGGGAGAGGGAGTCATACAAGCCTGCATCAATCTCAGCTCAGCTCTGAGACATTTATTTAACTCCTCTGATTCGTTTTGTCATTTATAAATTAGTGATAATGTTCACTGTTAGAGAGTTATTAACGTGACTGTTCACTGAGAACATGTTTGTATAACTGGCACAATTCTAAGGACACATTGCTGCTTAGGATATTTACAACTGAATTTATTGAGAGTTTGAGATTAAAATACAGTATTTGTGACTACTTAGCAGTGTATGGAGATTAAAAAGAGAGGCCCCTAACTTTAGATGTTGAAGTCAGAAATCACACTGAAAGGCAGTGTCATCTTAAGGTATTTTAACTGCACTGCACTTCATTGTTCATTAAAAGTTCTGAAATAGAAATAATCATAAGTGTCATTTTAAGTATACTACAGCCCATGATTTCAGCTCAAAGTGTTGTTTATAACTGGAAATGTACTTGGTTTGATGAAAGACTTGTAAGGCTAAGTGGGATAATAGGTACTTACTTGTGCCTCACATAAAACTTTTTTGAGAGAAAGAAAATGAGTTGTTGGTGTGCATGCATTTATTCCCTCACTCAGCAAACATTTGTTGATTTCCTAACACTATTAGATGCTAAGGAGAACTAATTTTATTTTGGCAGCTCCTTCTTGGATCTTCCAGTCAAGTAGGCCTCTTAAAATTAAAAACAACAACAAGAACAAAAAACCTGAAGTTTTACAATCTTTCTGTCTCTTTCAGTAGTTCACCTCATTGTTCTTATACCTCTTTTAGATACTCATATGCGCAGTACGTGCTATGGTGGAATCAAGAAGGGAGTGTGTGTCCGTCCCTTCCCTGGTGCAGTGACCAAATCTGAATGCTGCTGTGCCAACCCAGACTATGGTTTTGGAGAGCCCTGTCAGCCATGCCCTGCTAAGAACTCAGGTAATCATATTTGTCTTTTTCTCATCTGATAGAAAGATCTAGAAATTCAGTATTAGATATTTGGCCAAAGAGCATTGCAGCTCTGAAGTGTTTTCTCATTGTTTTTAATTAAAGGAAATAAATCCAATTATGCATAGGTATATGAGGCATATAAGATTTGGCATGTGTTTATATGAGTGGGCTTCAAACAGTTTGTGGAAAATGAACTTAGAGCTAATGGAATTTTTTCCGCAAACTTTTGAAGCCCTTTCATATGCATGTATGATCTTAGGTAGTGAGTTGAAAAATCTATTTGTTGATGTAATTACAATCACTTGAATAGATGTTTACATAATGTTTACATAATGGATTAGCCTCAGTCTCCCTGATTTATGATGTCACTGTGAAGATAAATAGCCAAAAATGATCTATTACTTTCAAGATTAAAAACACGTAAGAAACCTGTTTTTTTGTTGTTGTTTTGTTTGAATCTCAATACAGAATGATCTTAGACAATAGTTTATAGTTAATTATAGACTAATAAGTTTGATTTTTATTTATTCATACACTTGACTGTGTAAGGACAGTAAGAATTCAAAAATTAACTTTTTTTCCCCCTGAAAGTTGAGATTCTTTAAGAATACAGGCAGACAGATATATAAATTACAATTTAGTTTGATTAGTACCTTAAAAGAGATAAAAAAAACAACTGTGATAATACAAGGGAGGGAGCAGTTAGTTGCTTGGGGAAGCTAGAAAAGACTTCACAGAGGGGGAGATGTTTAGATTGGTCTAGAAAAACTATTAAGAACTTCACAAGTGGAGGATGGGAGAAATGCATTCCAGACAGAGCAAATTACCTGTAATTCTGTTAAAATACCAAGTGAAGTATTCAGAATTCAATGAAATTATTATTTACTATCTACAAGAATTGCTAAATATAGCATTTTTAAAAAACAAAAGAAATTAAGAGAATGTTGCCCTAAAATGTATTAAATTGTGTTATTTGTAGTATGAAAGAAGTATATCAGTTGGTGAAAGGCTAAATAAAAAGATCTATAAACTAATAAAATGAATCTAAAAATAGACTTGGTTATAAGAAGAAGAATAAGGACAACATTTTAAATCAGACAAGAAAAATGAAGTATGTAATGAATATTGTTGATGGCTATCGGATAAAATATGAAGTTAGAGATCCCTACATTGCATCTTACAAAAATAATTGTCATATGTAATATGTAACTTTAAAAGATTTTTGAATGATAAAGGACTTTCAAAGCAAACATCAAAGACTAAAACACATATATAATTCAGAAAAGTGTTTTTGTACATCATTCCTTAATTTATAAGGAATTTACATTAATCAGTAGGAAAAGTTATATCCTATATAGAAAAATGTGTAGAGCACATAACTAGGATTTCACAAAGAAGAAATGAAAATGGTAGATGATCATATAAAAATATACCTAATTTTTAAAAAAAAATTAGATCCCTTATATTTTTCCCCCAGATTGGTAAAGTACAGTATTTTCCCAGTGATGGGGTGAGAAAGACAAAAATTATCCCACTCTTAATAAAGCTGGTAGAACCATAACTTGGACATTGAGGGAGGGGAAGCCCTAGGTTGTCAATAGGTCCAGAAACTCAGCTGCTAACGGAATGTTTGGTGATTCAAGCCCATCCTGGTTGCTTCAGAAGAAAGGCCTGGCAATAAACTTCTGTAAAAACAGCAATTGAAAACTTCAGGAAGCTCAGTTTTGCTTTGACACACACAAAGTTGCCTGAAGGGGGAACTGAATGGATGGCAACTGATTTTGGTGATTAACAAAAGCTGTAAAAGAGACACAGAGTCTTAACAGTTTTGCTTGCAATTGATTAGCCTAGTGATGCAATTGCACTTAATAGTATTTATTATAACTCTTAAAAGTTGGACAGACCTAATAGAATGAATGTGTTAGATCCATCTAACTGTGAAAAAAGTGTTGTTCTTGAAAAAAATACAGACTGGGTCCATGGTGACATGTAAAGACATTCCTGATAGAATGCCCAGACTTCAAGTTTGTGCCTCCAGTTATGACCTATATAGGCCTGAGACAATTATTTCACTTTTCCATGCCACAGTTTCCTTGGGTGTAAAATATGGGAAATATACCTAGGTAGTGTAGAAGAGAAGCTTAAATAAATTACTAGATACAAAATTCTAAAACAATGCAGGTAAATGGTAAATTCTATGTAAATGTTGGCTATTATTATTTTATAATTGAGAAAAAAGTTCAGTTTCTATTTTTTGAAGTTTTCATGTATAGAAAATAATTGTAACATTTATTAATATATTAATACTGTTCAATTCAAGGTGATGACTACAAGTTATTTTGATATACTTTTCATTCTTCTGTATGATTTTAAAAATTCTTATAAAAGTTGTGTACTTCAAGATGGCAACTTTTTCTTTTAAAAAGTGAATATATGTAATTCTTCCTAATGGTCGTTTTGGAGTTATGGAACAAGTATAGTTTATAGTTTTAATTTCTCTCTCTCTCTCTTTTTTTCTTGATTTTTATTATACAGCTGAATTCCATGGTCTTTGTAGTAGTGGACTAGGCATCACTGTGGATGGAAGAGGTAACTGTACTCAATTCTCAGCACTATAGTTATAGTAATTATATAATCCACAGACATATAAATAGATTCATCTAATGTTATTTAATACTGTAGGAACATATCAATATAAAACAGTAAGATGAATTATCTCTTAGAGCACTGGTTTTAGTCTACATTGCTTTAGGTTGTATATAGATGTACACTTTTCATCTTTGGTAAATACCTTCTGTTAAATATACAGTGTCACATTTTCTTCAACTCTTATCATCCATGATTTTATGGATAAGATTATACAAAAATTGGTATTTACATTAACAAAAGAAGTCAAGTTTAAGGAAAAATCTTAAATAATGGTGCAGATAAGGTTTTGAAGACAGTCATTAAGAAGTTTTTAATAATGGCTCAAGTTCAGGGAAGACTGCCCTAAGAATAAACTAAGATTGTATTTGCCTAAGAATACTAAAATGTTTCTACCTAGCTAAAGAGATAAAATTCACTAAAATATTGTTTAAAATTAGTTAATATAGTCAAAAAATTTAAATGTGTAATCTTAAATATTTAAGTTTGATATATGTATGTGTTAATAATTTAAAATATTTTACATTTCTGTAAGCAAAGAGGGTTTTTGTTGCTGTTGTTTTTTAAATAAAACCATAAGGTGTTGCTAAATCTTCACTTACATATATACATTGTTGTTGTTGTTAAGTGCCATCAAGTCAGTTCCAACTCATAGCCACCCTGTGTAGGGTTTCTGAGGAGCGACTGGTTAGTTTGAACTGCCAACCTTGCTATTCAAACTGATCTTTTGATTAAGTACTGATCTCCTACAGCACCACACTAGGACTGCTCACACACACGTGGTGCTATAGGATTAAGCACTGGACTCCACCTGCTGCTCCTTGGAAACCCTATACAGGGTTGTGATGAGTCAGAATCAACTTGACGGTACATAACAACAACAATGTGTGTGTGTATATATATATGTTGTTAAGTGCCGTTGAGTCGATTCTGACCCATAGCAATACATACATATATATATATAAGTCCTCCACTTTTGTATTTGAGGAGAGTTTAGAAAAGTCAGAGATTAGTTGTCAATAATGTTTAACAATCTTTGCAGTAAATATTAGTAGTCAGAGTAAAGAAGTAAACTCTTTTGAACAAAAATGCCTTTCCTAAAGTAAATTAAAAGGTTGCATTTTTGTAGTATTTAGGAAGGTTTTCTAAATTCATGAAAATAATGGTATCCTAGTGACCAACAGTTGAACTTTTGGTGTACTCCATTTTGTTGTTGTTGTTAATCATTGACTTGCATATTTTTATATGGACTTGTTTTATTAGTACAGTGAAACTAAATTTGAGACACTGAATATTTTAAGTGTAGTGCAAAAGAGAGACAAGGAGATTATTTACATGATGCAAGATTTCAGAACTTCAGTGGAATGGGCAGCTTAACATGATGCTATTTTAATTGAGATTTATTTTAGCATACATACATTCCAAGAATGTCACCATCTCTAAATAAGAAATAGTCCTTGTCGTCTAGAACTACTTTGGTGGCCCCATATTCTGGAAGAAGAACTTTATCTCCAACTTTCATGCTAACTTGTTGAATCTCTCCACCCTTTCCTTGAGATCTGCATCCAACAGCTACTACTGTTGCTTGCAGTACTTTTCCTTGAAATTTTTCTGGAAGCTTAATGCCTCCCTTAGTTACAGTTTCAGCTGCACTCCTTTCCACCAATACCTTATCAAAGAGAGGAAGAAACTTTTTAAATGCCTGTCCTGCCATGATTCTCAGATCACTGCAACTCACACTCCATACTCCCTAGGCTGCAGCAAGCAGAGACCCGCCTGTACTCCATTTTTATATTAATTTTCAATATGGCCTTTGCAACAGAACCAACTGCCTGTGAAAGTATGACCTCACATATAAGCCCATCATTTATGTCCCATTGTCCATGAATGACAGAATAGCCATGTTCATTACTTGCTATAAAACATACTGTTCTGAAACTGCCATGTTTTAACCATCTTCTCAGTTAATATCAATTCATGAGCAATAAAGAACATTTATGAAATATCATATTATTTGGTTGACTGTTAAAAATGTCAGTAAAATGGAGATATTTCCTGCCTTCAGAGACCATAAAATTCTATAGGCCACACTAATAAATCTGTCTTCTAATGAGATAGTCTTAGTAGCCAACAAGTTAGTTTACCTTTGGATTTGAGGCCAAGAGTGTATACAATTTCTTCATTAATTTGATCATAAATACAGGTATTTTAAGTGTCTTAGTTGTAGAATTCTTCTATTACAGAAATACCACGAGCAGATGACTTTAACAACCAGAAATTTCTTCTCAGATTACAGGGCTAGAAGTCCAAATTCAGAGTGTTGGCTCTGGAGCAAGACTTTCTCTTTTTGATTCTGGAGAAAAAGCTCCTTGTCTCTTTTCAACATCTGTAGGCCCAATATTCTTTGGAGATCGCCATACATCTTGACCTCAATCTTCCCCTGGGTCTAGGATTTTCACAGTGCGGGGACCCTAGGTTCAAAGGACTCACTTCTATTGGTGGTAATAGGTTCCTCTTTCTCTGCTCACTTCTCTCTCCTTTTATATCTCAAAAGTGACAGACTCAAGGTACAGCCTAACCAGATGTAGATTGCATTTGGCCTCCTTAACATCTTAGAAGTGAGGATTTACAGCACACAGATAATCGCATCTGATCAGAGCGGATCATGCCATATCACATCATGGAATTGGTTGTATCATATTAGATGTCATTGTGGAGGTGTGATAACTACACCCTAACTCCTAAACCACGAGAATCCTGATGGCCAACCCAAGTTGACACAAAACTTTATCATGTGAAATAATTCACTTTCCCTAAATTTTTGCTGCTTTCCTTCATTTCTTTATATTTCAATCTAGGGTTCTAGATCTCTCAGTTTTGTTTTCTTATTCCTATTTTCATTTCCATCCTGAAAGGCAGGCAGATTGTGAGGTTGTTTACAGAGTTAAGTAAACACTTTGTATGTTGAGTCATCTGTAGTAGCCCTGTATTTATTTACAAACTTTCAACATTCGATGCAGATATCAATGAATGTGCTTTGGATCCTGATATATGTGCCAATGGAATTTGTGAAAACTTACGTGGTAGTTACCGTTGTAATTGTAATAGTGGCTATGAACCAGATACCTCTGGAAGAAACTGTATTGGTAAGTATTTTGTTCTATTTATTCAAGACCCTTTTGAGCAGTTTAAATCCCATGGATTATATGGTTAGGCAAAGTGCAAATGTTGTTAGCACCTTTGAGTCAGTTCTGACTCATAGTGACCTGTATAGGGTTTCCATGGAGCAACTGGTGGGTTTGAACTGCCAGCTTTCCAGTTAGCAATCTGGTGCTTATCATGCAGCTCCACAAATGACTAAAAATGTTAATCCTCGTTTCCTTTTTAAAACAATTAAACTATTGTATTACACACAACCATTTCCTGTTTGTACACTTTGGTTTTAAAGTGTTCTTTTCACAGACAAATGGACATCAATGTTTAGTATTGTTTTTTGTATCTAACTTGATCATATAAATTTTCACTGAACAAAGGACTTCAACAATTAAATGGGCAATATGGATAATAGTAAGTCAAAAAGTAAAGTGTTGCAGAGTGAGGAAACAATGAATTCTGTAAAGAAACAACTTGTTACTACATATCCAAATATGATATCTGAGAATGGGATGTTTTCCATATATAACTTATAAGAGAATGAGAAAACTGAAACATGTGATTTAGGTTTAACAAAAAAGGGGAGGAGGCTGAAGACAGCTGACAATGTTGTATTTCCAATTAGTTCATACATTCAAGAAAATAACATTGCTTTAATGCAAAATGAGATCCTGTATCTCAATGTATCAAAAAGGTGGCAAAACAGGCAAAACTCACCTTTGATCTCTAACTGTGTGGCAAGAAGCAGCATGAATCCAATTCCCACCTGAAGCTGACCTAGGCTTCACCTTCCCTTCTCACCAGCCACTTGTTCTATGGCACTTTTCTCCTACCCTAACCACCTAGTTAGGTCAAAAAATACCTGGCCATCCTGAATGGGGCCAAGTCATCAAGCACCAGTTGTAGGTTTTGGAGTACACACAACTCCCTGCACTTCAGACTAGTTAATCTCTGTGTGTATGTGTCTCTGTGACTCTCTTGCCCCTGAGATTAATTCACTGGCTAGAAGGGCTCAGTCCTCCTTCACTGATTGCCCATGCATCTTTTCTCCATCACCAAGCCACCCAACACTGGTTCCTCATGAAACCCTATCTGATTGTGTATGCAGCACCCTGAGTCAAGTCAAAATCCCATTACCCATTGTGGATTTGTTAATTCTCCATCATGGCTCAGAAAATTCCCTGGAACTATTATGCATATGGGTTGCTATGGGTCAGAACCAATTCAAAGGCACCTAACAACAGTAGCAACAATTACCTATACTTTATAGGTAACCCATTTGTTATAACCAGAAAGGATACAATCAAAGAGATACACCAGGCAGTCTGGGAGGTTCACTGCATATGGTTTCTGTTGTCCGCAGGGGCATGCTACCCCTTTCCATTCATGGATGTTCTCACCAATCCAGGGGAGCCTGAAAGAGAGAGTCACAAGGTGCAGGCTTCCTTAGTCATTGGGACTTAAATAAATACACATGGCTGGGACCTTATCGCATAGTTATGAGAGATCCTTTCAATGAATATACATTACTGACTGCATCTCACCTTCTCCCTTTCTGAGGTTGCTTGCAGAGTGGGGCCTATTGCCAAGGTGGGGCCTGTGCAGCCCCTACTTACTTATGCTTAAGTGTTGCCTGGCTATTTCTGAATAAAAGCCTTAACTGCTCAGTCTATTCCAAGGGCTATTATTTGAAACCAGGCTCAAGTGTCCAACCAAATTCTCTGTCTGCCACACCAGGAATCTAGATTTTCTCACACAGCACTTGAGGTGTATTTTATAAAGCTTAATGTTACTTGACCCATCATATGCTTAATGATTTTTACAATTAATCACTAATGACCCTTACAACTAAGTTTTGATGATTAAGATTAGAAAGTAATAAGAGGGGGCTTCAAAATACTCATGGAAAAATTCCATTTTTTCCATTAATTTGTGACTCCTCCTCATACACGTCTCTTCAAGTTTTTAATCAAGTACTGTTTTTTTTTTTTTTTTTTCATATATTTGACCCTGAGCTGCTAATATATGTACAGATGGATGTACAAAGCTGTGTTGTTGCTGTTATTGTTACATGTAATCAAGTCAGCCTCCAAATCAAGTCAACTCCATTTGTTACACAGAAGTACTTCATAGAGTTTTCTTGGCTCTAATTGTGAGGATGGTACAGGATGGAACAACGTTTCTTTTTATGCACAGAGTTGCTCTGAGTCACAACCTACAGCAGCAGTAACAGACTTTACAGAAGCAGATTGTCAGACCTTTCCTTCCAAGGTGCTGAGTGGGTGACCCTCACCTATCGTTAGGTTATGCTACACTGCCTTCTCGTATAGAGCCATACGAAACATCGTGTATTTATGATAGAATTGGTTTCTCTGTGTACAGGACGAGGGCACTAGCCACACGTGATTGAACTTTTCTAAAAATGTGCAGAGGACAGCTTTTATTTGCCAGAAGCTAAGTCACTCTCAGTGAACATACCTTCTGAATAAGGTTTAGAACATGGTCACCACACTGAAAACAGGGAGATTAAGTGAACATCTTCACACTGAACATGGGCCATGGAAGTATTTAATTCTTTAAAATAGTTACATGCGTGACTTTGTTATTAAAAGTAGATTTTTTAAAAAGTCAAATTTCAGGAATAAAGACATGTTTAAGTAAATTGTTAAGCAATCACTAGATATAACATTATACAGTCATGGCAAAAGGATCCCTTTGGTGACACAAATGATTAAGCATTTGACTACTTTGTAAAAGGCTGGTGTCTCAAGCCCACCCAAAGGTGCATCAGATGACAGTCTTGGCAATGTGCTTTCAAAAGGTCACAGCCTTCAAACCCTACTGAGCAGTTCTGTGTTGTGTGTTTTAGGATGAGCACTGGACTGCTAACCACAAGGTCAGCAGTTCAAAACCACCAGCCACTCCTCAGAAACCTTATACAGGGTCGCTCTGAGTTGGAATCCACTGTGTAGCACTTAATAGCAAAGCAACTTTATATGCAAATAAGCTTAACCTTTTAGTTTATTTCATCAGTGTTTTAGAATATATTTAATACCACTGCAGGACAGTACACTAATGAAGGATGTGCCCTTGGTGACACAGTGATTAAGTGCTCAGCTGTAACAGAAAGGTCAGCCGTTCAAATCAACAAGGTGCTTTTTAGGCGAAAGATGTGAAAGTCGATTTCTGTAAAGACTGTAGTCATGTAACCCTGTGGTGTTGGTGGTGGTGGTGTGTCGGGGAGTCACTTCCAACTCATAGTGACCCTGTACAAGGTGTCTGAGGTTGTAATCTTTATGGGAGCAGAAAGCCTCATTTTTCTCCCATGGAACAGCTGGTAGTTTCGATCTGCTGACCTTGAGGTTAGCACCCCAATTCGTAACCACTCCGCTACCAGAGCTCCTTTGGAAGCCTATGGGGAAGTTCTAATTCTGTTCTAGAGGGTCACTGAGTCAGAACGGACTCCCAATAGTTTGTTTCTTCAGTGAGCACTTTCCGAAGTACTACATACTTTCTAGGAATTCAGAGCCTCTTAAAAGTAGCACAAGACTGTCCTGTTTAAATAAAATATTTATTAATTTATTAATTTATTTATTCTGTTATGTCAATTACAGAACAACTAGCCAATTAGAAGCCAGGTAAGGGGTAACTTCTCTTGTCACTAGGTGCTGTCAAGTCGATTCCAACTCATAATGAAAGCATGAATGGAGCCATTTTGAGAACTTAACAAATAATTGAGCACTACTTGAGACATCCCACACACCACCACCCCCTTTCCTGTTTTCTTTTCTTACATATGTTGTTGTTAAGTGCTGTTGAGTCGACTCCAACCCATAGCGACCCAGTATAGGGTTTCCAAGGAGCAGCTGGTGAGATTGAACTGCCAGCCTTGTAGTTCAAACAGCTTTGTAGTCTGGCATGTTAACCCACAGTGCCACACCAGAACTCCTCCTTACATACAAGCTTCTATAATTTTAATGGTTGCTTAGGCTTGAAGACATCCCTCTGTGGATGGTTTCTAAAAGAGTAACCACCCAGATAAACAGGCACCAGGAAAGTTTAACCCTTTTGATAAGTTTCTCAGCACATCCAATCACCTTGTGAATTGGTGCAGAAATGCTAGACTCATAAGATTGTAGCCCACCTGCATTCTGATTAACATTGTTATTGTTGTTGTTAAGTGCAGTCTAGTCGTTTCTGACTCATAGCGACAGTTGGTGAGTTTGAGCCACAGACTGTGCAGTTCAACCTGACCTTGTGGTCCAGTGAATTATCTTGTAGTGCCACACCAGGACTCCAATTAACATTGTAAAAGTGGGTAAAATATTGCTTGTAAGAAATAGTCATTGGACACCATTCCTCCTTGTTGCAGGGATCCCTGGAGTCCCTTTCCTAATAATAAAGGCTTTTTCCTGGTTTATTTGGAATGTTTGTTAATTGGACTCCATTGCTCTAGGGCATTGGACACAAGTTTTAGGGGTAACAATAACAACTGTATAGGACACTGTAATATATATATAACCTATAGTGTATATAACAGGACACTGTCTTCTTGTTGTACTATATATTTAAATACATGTTTTCTATTCTCTCATGGTTGCTTTCAGACATTGATGAGTGCCTGGTAAACAGACTGCTTTGTGATAATGGACTATGTCGAAACACACCTGGAAGTTATAGTTGCACATGCCCACCTGGGTATGTGTTCAGGACAGAGACAGAGACTTGTGAAGGTAAGAGCTATCTTCATTGTCTTTGTCAATTGCAAGCACCTAGTCAGTTCCACTGATGAAGCAACAAAGGAGGGAAGAGTGTTGTGTGGATATTTCTTTTATAATCGCTTGCCTCTAATCTGTCAGTTTTAAAAATAGAATATACCTAACCCAATTTAAAAGCACTCAGCTTCATTCTATTCAGATAAAATATCTGCAAACATTTGGAACAAGCATTCTGAAGCTTTGGGGTGAAAAAAAAAAAGTGGAAGGAACCATGTATTGCTTTACTTTTGTTTGCTTTGTTTCCCTCTTTTTAAGACCACTGTGACACATTTGTGTAGGATTCTAGATTGTGGTAATGAATTAATAGTTAGCGTTTATGCAGTTCACTGATGGACTTTGGTATGCCTGGGAGGTTGACTCATAAAATATATAATATAGTCTAAGAAAGGAACTCCTGGTATGGTGTTGTAGGATGAGCACTGGACTAGAAACCACAAATTGTGCTCATGAGGAATCTGCCCATGGATCAAAAGGTAGTTGTTCAAACAGAACATGGGAACACTGAATGGTTTAAAATTAACAAAGGTGGGCAAGGGGTTGTATTCTTTCACCATACTTATTCACCTGTTTGCTGAGCAAATAATCCAAGAAGCTAGGTTCTATGAAGAAAAACGTGGCATCAGGATTGGAGGAAGACTCATTAACAACCTGCGATATACAGATGATACAACCTTACTTGCTGAAATTGAAGAGGACTTAAAACATTTACTGATGATGATCAAAGAGCACAGCCTTCGGTATGGATTACATCTTAATGTAAAGAAAACAAAAATCCTCACTACTGGACCAATGAACAACATTCTTATCAATGGAGAAAAGATTGAAGTTGTCAAGGACTTCATTCTTCTTGGATCAACCATCAACACTCATGGAAGCAGCAGTCAAGAAGTCAAACAACGTATTGCATTGGGCAAATCTGCTGCACAAGAGCTTTTTAAAGTGTTGAAGAGCAAAGATGTCAGCTTGAAGACTAAGGTGTGCCTGACCCAAGCCATGGTATTTTCAGTAACCTCATATGCATGCGAAAGCTGGACAGTGAATAAGGATGACCCTAGAAGAATTGATGCTTTTGAGTTATGGTGTTGGAGGAGAATATTGAAAGTGTCATGAGCTGCCAAAAGAACCAACAGATCCGTGTTGGAAGAAATGCAGCCAGAGTGCTCCTTGGAGGCCAAGATGGCCAAACTTCGTCTCTCATAATTCGGACTGGTTCCTCTCAGGAGGGACCAGTCGCTGGAGAAGGATATCATCATGTTTGGTAAGGTGGAGGGTCAGAGAAAGAGAGGAAGACCCCCAACGAGATAGATTGGCCAAGTAACAGCATTGATGGACTCAAGCTTGGCAACAATAGTGAGGTTGGCCCAGGATTGGGCAGTGTTTTGTTCTGCTGTGCATAAGGTTGCTATGAGTCGGTACCAACTCGATGGCACCTAAAACAACAAATAAGAAAGGGACTCCTGGTATGGCGTTGTAGGATAAGCACTGGACTGAAAACCACAATGTTAGTGGTTCAAATCCACCATGTGGGAACACTATACAGGGGTCATATGAGTCAGAACCAAGGAGCTCTGGTAGCGTAGTGGTTATGAATCAGGCTGCTAACCTGAAGGTTGGCAGTTCAAAACTACCAGCCATTCTGTGGGAGAAAGAGGAAGCTTTCTGCTCCCGTAAAGATGTACAGCCTCAGAAACCCTGTGCAGGGTCACTATGAGTCAGAACTGACGTCACAGTACTTAACAACAACAACAATATGAGTCAGAACCAACTTGAGGGCATTTTATCAGCAACACAGTCTAAGAAAATTGTCCTTTCCATTTGATAATTTAAAAGTCATCATTTGGTCTTGTTGTTGTTGTTGTTAGGTGCCATCAAGTCGGTACCAACTCATAGCAACCTTATGCACAGCAGAATGAAACACTGCCTGATCCTGGGTCAACCTCACTATTGTCGCCACGCTTGAGCCCATTGATGCTGCCACTTTGCCAATCCATCTCGCTAGTGGTCTTCTCATAAATCAGTGTTTTAAAATGTATTTCTCTTTTTGTCACATTTTCCTGCAATGAAAGTTGCTGGAATGAGTTAAATGGTTGGGGAAAATTTCATTTTCATTGAGATACTAGCTAAGCAATGAATGCATTCAGTTACATTTTTGTATTTTGATGGAAGTGCTGTGGGTTAATGAGCCAGACTGCAAAGCTGTTGAACTGCAAGGTCAGTGGTTCAGGCTCACCAACTGCTCTTTGGAAACGCTAGACAGGGCTGCTATGGGTCGGAACCGACTCGACGGCACTTCACAACACAATGTGTCAGAAGAAATTGTTGTCTGACTAGCAGTCATTGTACCTCTTTTCATCTCACTGTGTGGACCCACAGAAGTGTCCCATGATGTACTGAGATCTAAATACTTCTTCCAAATAATTACCTTTTTTATAAAGGCTTCATCTTTAATTATGGTAAATAGCCTTTACCTTACCTGTTACAGTATTTGTTTCTTAGTGAAACTGTAGCCAAGACAAATGCAATGGTATATTTTACAAAAAGATGTTAACATCCTCTCTTCAGCTTACGGTTTAACATCAAAGCATTCTTGTGACTAGAAACATGCTAGGACTATTGAACAAGATGCCAAAACACAAATGACTCATCTGAAGTCAATGAAATGCAATTACAAAGTGCAATTCTAAGTTTGGATTGAACTGGAGGGACCACTGAAAAACAGTAATTAGCCTGAAGAAAGAAAAGAAAAAAAGACCTACACATACGATTCAGGTTTTCTAAATTTAGATCTGGTAACAACTTTCCAGGAGTCTTGGTGTGGTACTGTAGGATAAGCATTGGATTGTAAATCCAATGCTTTGAACCACAAGGTCAGCAGTTCAAATTCGCCAACCACTTCTCAGAAAACGACAGGGTTGCTATGAGTCACAACCAACTCAGTGGCACTTAACAACAGCTTTCCTGCCTGCCTACTTTCTTTGCAAGAACTCAAAGAGAGAAAAGGGCAATTGCTTTCCTAATTAAAGCACTTGGAGAAACTTCGCCCTGAATGATTAGGAGACACAATAGTTGGGATTTCCTTCTGTTAGTTTGGAATATGAGGATGGTGCAAATGATTAAGGCACAAAGCTGCTAACTGAAAGGTTAGAAGTTTAAGTCCACACAGATATATTATCGGAAAAAAATCACTGGCAATCAACTTCTAAAAAGTGGACCATTGTAAACCCTGTTCTTCTCTGACATCACCAAGAGTTGGCGTCTACTCCATGGCAACTGGTTTTTGTCTTGTGTTCTGTAAGGCAGCTCTCTTTATAACCCCACTCCAAAATATAAACCCACTGTTTTTAAGCCGATTCCAACTCATAGAGACCTTGTAGAACAGGGTAGAACTGCCCCACAGGGTTATGTGCAAAGCTGTAAATCTTTGCACATAAGTGAAGCGAACGGCAACATCGTTTGCCCAAGGCATAGCTGGTGGGTTCAAATCACTGCTCGTTTGGTCAACAGCAAAGCACTTTTAAAGCACTGTATCATCTGGTCTCTTATAACCCACTCTGTTGTTAAGTGCTGTCAAGTTGGTTATAACTCATAGTAACCCTGTATAGGGTATCCAAGGAGCTGCTGTGAATTTGAACCGCCAACTTTGTGGTTCAAATGGACCTTGCAGCCCAACGCATTAACCCGCAGCACCACACCAGGACTCCAAAACCAACTTGTTGTTGTTAAGTGCTGTCGAGGTGATTGTGACCCATACCGACCCTGTGTAGGGTTTCCAAGGAACAGCTGGTGAGCTTGAACCACCAACCTTGCAGTTCAAACGATTTTGCAGTCTGACGCATTAGCCCACAATGCCACACTCGGACTCTAAAACTAACTTAGACTACTTAAATATGTTTAACTAAAGATTCTCTTTTTTCTAGCAGCCACTTCCATCCCCAATCTCCAAGACCTGTTGTCTTTCAGAATTAGTCTGAGAAATGTGATTTGTGCAAAGGTATTCACTCCATATTCCTCAGTGATTATTTGAAGCAGTGGGAAAATGGATTTCAAACTTGTTTTTTTCTTATTCCTGACTTTCTATGCTTTCTTCCCACTGCTTCTTATCAGTTTTATCATCTCTTGGATGATTAGCTTCTGTTAAATCTCTGGAAAATATGAAAGAAAATATGAAAGCTTAGGAATCTTGATTTAATGTGGAAGTGGATGATTATTAGGACTAGTTTCCCCTTCCACGGCAACAATATTCTTTGTTACTAGTATAAGCAAAATATATCATGGGGAACCAAATGGACAGTGTCTTGGATTCGGCTTGGTACTAGCATCTCACTGAATTGTCGATGATAATTTACATCGTATCCCTTCATTTTAAGAAGAAACATTGGAGTTGAAGGATGCTGAATGTCACAGTGCTGACTCACCTGCTTACAGGAGCAATGAAAAAGGAATAGGAGTGGATCCTGGTAAAAGTGTAATGCTAGATCTTAACCTAAATATCAGAATGAGGGAGCAAGACATACACAGACCAAATCAGGCACTAGTGAGAGTTGGAGAGAGTGATCTGTGCTTGCATGTTGTGAAAGAGGTCATTGTTCCTGCTAAATCTGAGCCTTTTCTTACCATGAAAGATACATGCATCTGTCATTCAGAGGAAAGAAATTCATGTTATGTAAATACAGGAGAGACGTGATTCAAAAATATTTTGGCACTAGCCTCATGCACATTGGTGGATACAAAAGTGATTTGTTCAGGGAAACCTAACCATTATTTCTACACTTTCTTCCCACTGCATTTTATTACGTGTTTGCAATTGATATACCTGAAGGACACAGAACGCTTTCCCTTGGGTTTTTTGCTTATTTCTATCACTGCATTCAAACAGTAAATTTGTCTGCCTGAAGCAGTTCACTTCATTCCTATTCTTTCAAAACTAATTTCCAAAGACCAGACAGGGAATTATTAGCAGGTTCATGACGAATGCTAGCTTTCTCTATATGTTTTTTTGCTATATTCCCAAATTTTGTTTGTCATTCGTGTTTTCAACAGGCTATATATATTTTTTAATGTATAATAAATAGCTGTAGTAATAAAGAGTAAAATTCTTCTGCTATTTCAGACTGTTACAAAAACTTTATTTTACTTTTTTTGTTTGAGCTCTGAGAGTCTGTGAAAGTTAACATTTTTACAGCAAGCACTGTGGTTTAGATTGTGTTTCCAGTGATATAACTAGTTAAATGTAAGCCAGATGTTCTTTGAAGTTTATTTCCAGGAATGTACAGTGAACTGTTTCAATTCCTGGTTCCATGACATTATAACATAAAAACACTGTATAGAAAGAAAAATTAAACAATTGATATTTGTAGCTGTCATTGAATATGTTAATAGTTTTTTATGTCCTTAAATGCTTCATTTAAAGTAAAGATTAAAAAATATATATTTATATAATATTGGCATTTTTCCTTCTTTCGTGCTTCTGACAAATTAGATCAATCGAAGAATATAAATATTCCTCAGATTGGTTACCTGCTTCCTTTTAGATTATCTGCTTGATTTTTTTCTATTGTGTTTTTACTACAGGAATTTCAGTACTCTGGACTAAATGTTTTTAATCCAAATCTATGCTGCATTTACAAGACCTGCCCTACTGTTATTTTCCTTTTGCTTTTAAGAGGACTTCCCACTACATTCAGTCTCAAAGAAAGATGCATTCATACTTTCCTCAAATAATTTGTTTAAAGTATTAAATTAGTACATAGGTACTCTTTAGTAATTTTGAAGTAGGAAAAAAAAAGTACCTATTTTTTTCCACATTGATTTTTAAATTTGCATTTCAAGTCCATTAACTGGGGAATCGGCTCTGAGCCCTGCTCTTTCAGGACCAGCTAGTTTATGTTTCACTTGAGACATTCAAGAATAAGCATTAACGATCTGCTAGCGATTTGTTTGTCTCCATGTTTTCCCTCAACACAGCGTTTCATATTACATTGAAAAAGGTGTGTAGGGAAAAAGGAAAAAAATAAATGTTAAGTATTCTGATGAACTCAGAACGGCAGTGTTCAACATAAACCATCCTTTGAAGTGTGTTGACCTGTTTCAGATAATTAACCAAGCAGGAAAAGAAGTCTGTGTGGCACTTTTTTAAGCTAAGTGACTGGATTTATATTGAAAGTTGGTCTTCAATATTGTATGTAGTACTTAACTGGAGCTTGTATTTATTTTTAATTAACTCATGTGTGAAACTATTTAACTTTACAGCTTTGACATTTTCTTTAGTCACCGCTTGCGAACATGTGCGAAATCTTATTCTGTTTACTTCTCGCCATCAACAGAACTTGCTTGGATTGTGGTATATGATTTGATTTAGAACACAAATCAAATTCATAATTACAGAGGCCTATTTAAGGCAATTACATGGTCTCCATCAAGTTGTTCTAATTTTTCTTTTACCAAAATCATCTGTGCTTTAAAAAAAAAAAAAGGAAACTCAGGCAACAAGAGTACACAGTGAATCAGCTACAGAGACTTGCGTGGTAGATCCGGCCAGGAGAATGCCCGACCCATTATTAAAGTTTCAGTCCTATTTCCTGATTTGCATCCAAGACTTTAGAACTAAAGCCAGCATTGTGATATTTTGTTTCTAACAAGGCTTTCTTAATTCTTCTAGAGCCTCGTGGATCCATAAATGACAAAAGCAATCAGCGTTTGTTTTTGCACAGCATGCTGTGCTTGGAAATACGGTGCTTTCCATGAAATCAGAATTTGAATTTCCCATAGGACAATTAGTTTTTATTGTGGGGGGAAATAATCCAATTTATGTAAAGTTATAGCAATGTATCGAAGATTCACTACTGAACCCTTTCAAAACAGGCGGATCCTACCAAGTCCCCAGTCTTGTAGATATGTATCCGCACAGTAAAATGCAAGTCTCCACGGCTCATTCACTTCATGCCTCATAGATCCATATTAAAATTGCGAGAGCCAAGTTTACCAGACATTCTGGCATAGCATAGCTTGTTGGAATAATCTTTTCCAGAAACACATGGCCGTTCTAACAGAATCTTTTCCTTCTGGATTATAGATATAAATGAATGTGAAAGCAACCCCTGTGTCAATGGAGCATGCAGAAACAACCTTGGATCTTTCAATTGTGAATGTTCACCCGGCAGCAAGCTCAGCTCAACAGGATTGATCTGTATTGGTAAGATTTATACACAGTGCCCATATTTCCATTTCTTTGCAAAGATACAGGCAAGGACCTAAAGTTTTATTGTGGATAAATACAAAACATGATTGTAGGAAGCTAATAATTAGAAGTGAGATCACTTGTTTTCTATTGTTAACAAGATAGGAGTGAGAAACTAGGCTGTCGCTTAAATGTTATTAGATTCTAGAAAGTGTTCCTGTCACATAAGCTAGGTATATTGTGCTTTAAGTTACAAGCGTTTCCTTACCACACATGTGTGTATATTCCTTAGCCTAGGAATGCCTTAGGCATCCAAACAATCAAATCCTTGTTGCATATTTCCTTATAAACAGCCCTGGTATGGTAAACAACATTGTGAGGAAATTTGGATTCAGTTAACAGACAAGAAATGAAAGAATTTTAACTTTAAACATATAGAGGAAACGTGTGTGTGTTAGTTTGTTTGTTTTTTTTCCATTCTTCCATCAATTATAAATCCATGGGCTCTAAGGAAAAGAAGCTAGTTGCTTTTCGTTCTTGGAAATAAATAGAAAGATTTCTAGAAGTTCCAAACGAACGTCATTTAGTATATATCCAAATATTTAAGGTCGCTTCTTGATCATGAAAGTAGAACATAAATAACACAACAGTCTGATCTATTATTGTAAGGAACAATTCAGCTTATGTAGGGGGAAAAGGGTCCCAGTAGTTTTTTTCCTACTACCAATGTCTGTGGTTCTATTAGCTAGACATTTTCTACAGTTCATATCGTTACTTAGTGTTTACCTTTAAAATAAACTGAAGTGTATTTCAAAACAGGTATGAACACATTTCAGTTTTACACAGTACTCAATAAACTGGCAGTGTTGTTTTTTTCTACCAAAATGAATTTTTAATTCAGTAGTGCTCAAAGTAGCATAGTGGTTAGGAATCGCACTGCTAACCTCCGTCAGCAGTTTGAAACTACCAGCTGTTACGCGGTAGAAAGATGAGGCTTTCTGCTCCCATAAATATTTACAGCCTCGGAAACCCTGTACAGGGTCATTATGAGTCAGAATCGACTCCACAGATAACCACCGCCACCGCCAGTGCTCAAAGACAGTAGAATTTTCAGTATTCTGTCTGATATGAATTGTATTTAACTGGGTGATACAAGGTCAGGAGTTCATACCCACCAGCTGTTCCTCAGAAACCATATACAGTGTTGCTATGAGTGAGAACCAATTCCACGAGACTTCACAACAACAATAGTATCTGTATATTACATGAAGAGAAGTGACCAAGTTGTCAGTGAAAATGCCAGGTCTTCATTCTCCACTGATGAACAACTGGGAAAACTGGCACTCTCTTCAGCTCTCCTTTGTAGTAACTAGATTGCCCTCTGCCTGGAGCAATTATTTAAAAAAAAAATTTTTTTAATAGAATCCTGGGACAATAGGTGATAGATGGGAGAATGGATTGAATAAGATAGAAATATTTTTGCTGAGCCATAATTTCTAACTGAAATGGAGCCATTTTATTATGCAAAAGAAATGGACTCAATATTAGTAAATTAAGTCCATTCTCAGATAAGTAAATTTACATACCACTTGTGCATCAAAGATATCTTAGTTTATGGTTTGTTGTATAAACTTCTATTATTTACTTAGTTTCCTTTTTGGCCCTTAATGATAAATGGGCAAAAACATTAACTCCTAAGCCATTATGTTAGACAGCTAATCATCATCATACTTTTCTCAACAAATGTGTGATACATGTTTTCATTCATTATGGTCCAATTTGAATTTTCCAACCTACAGCAACTAAGAGAGAAATTATTTTGTTATTGTTGTTAAGTACCATGGAGTCAGTTCCAACCCATAGTGACCCTGAATAGGGTTTCCAAGGAGCAGCTGGTGATCTTGAACTGCTGATCTTGCAGTTCAAACCAACTTTGCAGTCCAGCGCATTAACCCACAGTACTACACCTTAAAGTTTAAAAATTTTGTTGTTGCACACCACCACCATTTTATCTGCTTTTTTCATCAAAAATTAAATTGACAGGATATCTATCAATGTTTACCTTTGCTAAAGTGTAGTGCTATAGGATAAGCACTGGACTGCTAACTGCAAGGTTGGTGGTTAAATCCACCAGTGGCTCCTTGAAAACCCAATACAGGGTTGCTATGAGTCGGAACTTAAATCCACGACACTTAACAACAACAACAACAAGGAGCCCTCAGTCCACAGAGTAAGTGAAACTGAATGACTTTGTGCAGGAGGCTTGCTTGCAGAATGGGGTGCCTCTTGCCACTTAATTGAGGAGAGCTAGGTTTGCTAACCACAAAGTTAGAACCAAGTGCTTTCAGGCTGAGGCTTATGGTAGAGGGCTGTGTCCTGTCAGCACCCGTAAATGAGCTTTGTAATGTTGTCCAGGCAGAGAGAGACCTGCCTGCAATTATGGCTGAGGCAAAACTTTCCTGACTGGAAAAACTGTACCCTGAGCATTTCTGACCCTGAATTTATGTTAACTTCCTAATAAAGCCCATAACTGTGAGAATGGTATTTTATGTCAAATAAACAATTAATCTTTAAAAAGTCTTCACCATATCCAGAAGAAAGGAGAATGATGATAATTGAAGACATTTGGAATCAATTAGTCCAACGAACTAATGAAATGTGAACATCCATCTCCATGACTCTGACACCAGAAGAACTAGACAGTGCCCATGTACCATTACCAACCACTCTGAAAGGGATCACATTAAAAGGTCCCAGATACAGTGTCAGAATATGTGGAACAAAACTCAAAATAATTTAAGAAAAAAAAAAAAGGCAGGACTTACTATTTAGAAAGAGACTGGGACAACCTGAAACTGGCCCTCAACCACCCTTCAGGTCTAAAAATGAACTCACCTTCATGGTCCAACTTTCAACTAGCAGTAGATAGGTATATCATTAATTTTGCTTAAGATAATTCAGAATCAGTTGCAGCAGTAGAACAGCAGGAAGCTGTCAAAAATTCAAGCCAGATTGAGGAGAGGACATGAAATGTAGGTATCATTGCTGTTTGTCACATGGATCTTGCCTAAAAGCAGAGAGTAACAAAAACATGTTTACGAGTGCTTTATTGACTATACAAAGACATTCTGCCATGTGGGTCATAACAAATGTTGGATAACATTGCGAAGAATGGGTATTTCAAAACATTTAATTGTGCTCATGAGGAACCTATGTATAGACCAAGACACTCATGTGAACAGAACAAGATGATACTGAATTGTTTAAAATCAGGAAAGATGTCCATCAGAGTTGTATCCTTTCACCATATTTATTCAATCTGTATGCTGAACATTTAATCCCCAAACTGGAATATATGGACCAGAATATGCCATCAGGTTTGGTGAAGGTGCATTGAAAACCTGTGATATGCTGGAACCTTGCTTGCTGGAAGTGACAAGGACTTGAAATTACTGATGAAGATTAAAGACTGTAGCCTTCTGTATGGATTGTACATACACTCAGTGTAAAGAAAACAAAAATTTCAGTCAATTGGACCAATAATGAACATCGTGATAAATGAGAAAAGATTGAAGTTGTCAAAGATTTCATTTTGCTTGAATACACAATCAGCACTCATGGAAGCAGCATTCAAGAAATCAAAAGACACATTGCATTAGGCAAAGTGATTGCACAAAACCTCTTTAAAGCATTCAATAGCAATTTTAAGGACTAAGGTGTGCCTGACCCAAGCCATGGTATTTTCAGTCACTTCATACACATGAAAGTTGGACAGTGAACAAGAGAGACTATAAAAGAATCAATATATTTGAATCATGGTGTTGGTGAAGAATACTGAAAGCCAGAAGAACAAATAAATCTATCTTGGAAGAAGTACTGTCAGAATGAGACAGTACCTTAGAAGAGAGAATGGCAAGACTTTATCTCATTTTGTCAGTAGAGATTAATCCTAGAGAAGAACATGATTGTTAGAGTGGAGGGTCAGTGAAAAAGAGGAAGACCACCAACAAGATGGATTGGTACAGTGGCAATGAGCTCAAACATAACTTTTGTGAGGCTGGCACAAGACCAGACAATTTTTCATTCTATCGTGCTTAGGGTGACTAGCGTCAGAACCGATTCATCACTGTGTAACAATATTGTTGTTACGAACCTTTGAGTCAGTTTTGACTCATAGCGACCTTGTATAGGATTTCTGAGGAGTGGCTGCTGAGTAATCTACCTTGTGGGCTAAAGTATCATCCTGTAGCACCATACCAGGACTCCGTAACATTAGGGTTTCCAAGAAGCAACTGGTGGGTTTGAACCGAACCACCTTGTGGTTATCGTACACCACCACACCAGTACTCACTCTGTTATAAATAAGTTGGCATCTATGTGCCTTAGATTTCTCATCTGAAATTTGTATATACTGCAAAGACTTGTTTTGTTGAGTATATTTAGTTAGTACATGGAAAAGCTGTCAGAATGTGCCTATTAACAATTACTGTTAGAATCTATCCAGATTGAAATTGCTAACAAACAAGGCAATAAAATGGTTAGTCAATGTCCTTAAAAGATCATTTAAATGCATCATTCAAGCATTTCTGTTTCCTGTGTATAATGGAATTTAGGGAGTCATGGTGTGGCGCTGTGGGCTAATGCGTCAGACTGCAAAGTCATTTGAATTGCAAGGTTGGTGGTTCAAGCTCACCAGCTGCTCCTTGGAAATCCTATACAGGTTCACTATAGGTCAGAATTGACTCGACAGCACTTCACAACAACAACAACAATGGAATTTAGAGGTTTTATTTAGTCTATAAAAGGGAGTCCTGGTGTGGCACTGTAGGATAAACACTGGACCGCAAGATCTTTGCATTGTAAGGTTGGTGGTTCAAGCTCATCAGCCGCTCTTCAGAAACCCTATACAGGGTCACTATGAGTCAGAGCCGACTCGACAGCACTTAACAAGAAGTCTGTAAAAGGCATCATGATGTGGTGCTGTAGGATAAGCACTGGACTGCTAACAGCAAGATTGAGGGTTCAAAACTACCAGCCACTCCTTGCAAACCCTAAACAGGTCTTTCTGAGTCCAACCAACTGAATGGTGCTTAACAACAAGTCTATAAAATGCCTGTAATTTGAGGCCTGATACAAATGGTGATGAGCCTGCATTTTACATGTGTATCTATTTTTACCCAAACTGAATCTTTTGTCAGAAAAAAACCAAAGTGATAGTCAAATTCTTTTCTATACACCTGCCCTGTCACTTTTTATAGACAGTCAAGGATGGAGTTGTTTTAACCTAGATTCCAGTGTAAATATTTGTCACTGAACTCTGGTTAATTTCTTCTTGCCTGAATCTGTGTTCCGTTGTTGTTGTTAAGTGCCTTAGAGTTGGTCCCAACTCATCTTGTCCCTGTGTAGGGTTTCCAAGGAGATGCTGGTGAGTTTGAACCTCCGACCATAAATTTGAGCCTCTGACCATGTGGTTCAAACCTACCTTGCAGTCCAGTGTTTATCCTACAGCGCTATGCCAGGATTCCATAGGTAATTGGAAATAACATCTCCATTTATGGGCTGCCATTTTCACCATAATTCCTTTCTTTTTGGTGTTTGTAGTTTGCTTTTGTTGAATTTATCAATAACACTGCATCAGCATATATTATTAAATTAAATGCCATATGAATTTGTGTTTTCTTTGTCTACATACTATATTATGTGTTTATGGTTTTGTTATAAACTGTATTTTCTCAAATTTCTAAGTGGCAGCAAAAACTCCTGGGCAACAGTGACCCCTCTAGGATACAGTTATTGTGTTGTTAAATGACTTGAAGTCAGGTCAGATTCATTACCCTGTATAGGGTTTCAGAGGAACAGCTAGTGGTTTTGAACCACTAACCCTGCAGTTAGCAGTCCAGTGGTTATCCTACAATACCACACCAGGACCCCATGATACTAGTAGATATCATTGTATTAATTCTCACATCATATTAAATATATTTAACATCATTTAATTTAGGAATCCTGGCGTGGCACTGCGGGTTAATGTACTGGACTGCAAGTCAGTTTGAACCACAAGGTTGGTGGTTTACTCTTAGGAAAGCTTATACAGGGTTGCTATGAGTTGGAACCGACTCGACAGCACTTAACAACAATTTAGGTGTATCTATAGAATCCTGACATGGCACTGTAAGGTAAGCAGTGCACTGTTAACTGCAAGGTTGGTGGTTCAAACCAACCAGCCACTCCTTGGAAACCCTATACAGGATCCTTATGAGTCAGAACTGCCTCAGCAGCACTTAACAGCAATGATCATCTTTAAATGCATATGTACATGTTTGATGGATAGACTGTTATATTTGTTTGCTTGTTTTAGCTTTAAGAGAAGTGTGTTTAATGTACGCAGCTGAGTTATATTTTCTTCAGAGGTAAAAGTTCCCAACTTTCTTTATTCCTTTTCAGACAGCCTGAAAGGGACATGTTGGCTCAATATCCAGGACAACCGCTGTGAAGTGAACATCAACGGAGCCACTCTGAAATCTGAATGCTGTGCCACTCTCGGGGCTGCTTGGGGGAGCCCCTGTGAGCGCTGTGAGCTAGGTAGGTGTCTGACCAAGGGCTTCTGGGCTCCTTGTTTGGAAAACTTCTCCCTCAACTATAGAACCCTGTTCATGTATTTCTGGAGTCATTGACACTATACGATCATTAAAACTCCCTAAAAGATTGTCTAGAAGCTTGCTGACTCTGTAGGATAAGCACTGGACTGTGAGCCACAAGGTTGCCAGTTTGAGCCCACTAGCTGCTCCACAGGAGAAAGATTTACAGCCCCAGAAAGGTAGCTGTGAGTCGGAACTGACTCGACAGCACTTACCTGGCAAAATGAATTTAATTCTTCAACTGTCATTGCCTAACCTTCAGGTTCTTGTCCAATTTGAAATAAAGCTGATACTGAGGTCAAGAGAAACAGAAAGGGGGCTTAACTGCCTGCACAGATACGGAGCAACATGTGGTCCCATGACCAAAACCACAGGGCTTCTGAAATAGAGGCGTCTGGATCTTTATGCCTCCAGATTTCTGGGATTCTTATGTCTTCTGCCCTTCCCCATCACATAACGGGGATCTGACTATCAAGTCATATCCTTCTGTATACTCTCTGGACTCATTTCACTTCTAAAGTGGGCTTAGGGAAGATGTGTTTCTTCTGGAGATTCCTGGGTCCAGAGTCAGATGAAAGATACTAGTGTATGCATTGTGCATGCTCAGATCTGGTTCGAGCAGGAGGAACCCTATGGTGACTTCTTTGCAGAAGGATCTTGTGTTGGAATGCTATTAAGAGAATGCTGGTACTTCTGGCCTGCTGAAAAATTTAGGTAATAAAAAGGTGGATAGTATAACAACATTCCAAGAAAAGAGTAATAGAAAAAGGATATTAGCCTAAAGGTTTATAATAGAGGGGTGGGTAGCAGAGCAACTGTCTAAAAAGGGAGTAGTAGAAAAAGGGATATTGGTTTAAGGGCTTCAGAACCATGTGTTTGGCATAGTCTTTCCAGTTAAGCAAGGAGCTCTGGTGGTGCTGTAGGATAAGCACTGGACTGCTAACCACAAGTTTGGTGGTTCAAACCCACCAGCTGCTATGCAGCAGAAAGATGAGGCTGTCTGTTCCCATAAAGATCTATAGTATCAGAAAACTTCTATAAGATCACTGTGAGTTGGAATGAATGCCATAGCAGTGGGTTTGGTTTGGGGTTTGACATTAAGTAGACCTTCTGAGTAGATAAGGAAAAGAATCAGCTGTGATCTGACTATTAGGCAACTATTGCCTGTGTCCTTATTTGGGTGTTTTCCAGTCAAACATGCTATGATACCTCTCTTTCCTTTAAATCTTTGGTTAACTTGTAATTCAGCTAATGTGAAAGCAAAAATAGAATTTTAGAAAAAGTGATGTAAATCTCAAGGTGGATCAACATGGAGGTCATTACCACAAGGTGTCATGTACTATGCTGAGCCCTTGTCCTACAAAACCCCTTTTGATTCTTATTTAGTTATACGAGGAGACTTCAGATAGCTCATGGGAAAATTTATATTATCTACTGATTCCATTTTTCCATGAACTTTGTAAAGCCCTCTTGTATTTAGATTCCATTATACTATCTCAGGAGTCCTGGTGAGGTACTGTGAGATACAGCACTGGACCACAAGGTCAGTTTGAACCACAAGGCTGGAGGTTCAAACTCAGCAGCCACTCCTTGGAAACCCTGTACAGGGTCACTATGAGTGGGAACGGGCTTGGCAGCTCTGAACAACAACATACTGTCTCAGGAATCTTGATGTGACACTGTAGGATAAGCAGTGGACAGTTAACTATAAGCTTGGCTGTTCAGAGTCACTCCTCAGAAATCATATACATTGTCAATGTTAGTTGGAACCGAGTCGATGACACATACCAACAGCAGCATTCTGCTCAGGATTACTTAAGACAGGTGTATTCTCATTTATAATGAAGTAAACATGCATCCTGTTGTTCTTTCAGATACAGCTTGTCCAAGAGGGTTTGCCAGAATTAAAGGTGTTAGTTGTGAAGGTAAGTATTTTCTTGGGTGATAACTCATGTTGTCAATCTGTGGGGTAATATGTACAATTCACATTCATTCTCATTCAGCAGTTCAAACCTACCAGTTGCTCCGCAGGTGATCTGCTTCCATCAAGATTTACAACCTTGGAAACTCTATGGGGCAATTCTATCCTATCCTGTAGGGTCATTATGAGTTGAGTTGACTCAGTGGTGGTGGTTTAGGAAGGCGATTATTAATTTTCACAGTTATTGTCTAGGAAACATGACTGGGTTATGCTGTCTTTTGGCTTAACTCAAATAATATTTCACTTATTGCAGATGGAATATGTTATAAAGGGAGTAGGATTGCATCTGATGTTTATATTTGTAACAGCTCTATTTCTCTGATTACCCATCTCCTTATAGACGTTAATGAGTGTGAGGTGTTTCCTGGCGTGTGTCCCAATGGACGATGTGTCAATAGCAAAGGATCTTTTCACTGTGAATGCCCTGAAGGCCTTACATTGGATGGAACTGGTCGTGTATGTTTGGGTAAGATCCAAGTCTCTGTGTATTCTCTGGTAGCGTAGTGGTTACGAATCGGGCTGCGAACCTTAAGGTCAGTGGTTCGAAACTACCAGCCGCTCCGCGGGAGAAAGATGAGGCTTTCTACTCCCGTAAGGATTTACACCCTCGGAAACCCTGTACAGGGTCGCTATGGGTCAGAACTGACTCGACGGCACTTAACAAACAAACAAACAAAATGCTTGAAACTAGCTAACTACTTTCTTGTCATTCTGACAATGACCCGTCTAAAACGATTGGTTCTGTAGGTGGAAAATTTGCTTTAAATGCGATATTTTGAGAGAATCCCCAGAGGACATTTTAAAAGCAAAAGTTTTTAAATGAAATAATTTCTGTTTAGTACAAAAAATTGAACAGTGTTCACGAATTTATCTCAAAATATAAAGTGTCTTTAGATACTTTAGACAGGTTCAGCCTTTTACACTAAGTCAATGAAATACTACAACTAGAATTGCTATATGACAGTTTTGAACATAGGAGAAAAATTGGGGACTAGTATTTTAAAAGTTAACATTGACTAGTCCATAGCAGCTGCATCTTAGCCATGACAGTGGGGAAAATAGTAGGCGAACATTCACCAACCCTGGTCTTCTACCACCATTAAAGTTTAAGTTTTCTGAGAGCTTTACTTATTTTATTAAAGATATTAAATGAAGAAGCTCTTTCTTTCAACATTTTATTATAAAAATGTTGAGTTAGCTTTGTTCTTTATCACTATCATATTTAACTGAACTTGAACTACATGATTACGAGAGAAACTTTTATTCTGTATGGTACCTGAACAACATTTTTTTCCTCATTTACTCAAGATATTTCTTTTCCAAATATTATTGAACAGTAAATGTTTAGTTTGTAAGATCATTTTCCATAGGTTTGTATTTTAAATTATTGCTTACAGGCAAAGCAAGAGCAATGGCTTATATGCAAAAATCCTTTGTCTTGAACTACATTTCTTAAGTATTTTTTTTGTGTGTGATTTTTAAAATTAGAAATAAGAAGATAAAGTTTATCACACCATACAATTTTGTTCTCATTAACAGATTTTATGATAAATTAATTTATTGCTTTGGTAAGTATGAAGACTGTATAACCATATGGCATTATTTAGAAATTATGTATTTAACGTTCAATATCATAAAAATATTTTCAAATTTTAAGTATTTGAAAATTATTTTAAATTGTCTACAAAATTTCAGAAAAAAATCATGCCTTTTGAAGATCAAGTAGTATCAATATGGTCAAATGACTAATGAAAGCAAGTTGCCTTCACAAACTGAAGGATATGTTTCACATATAAAGGCATTCTATTGGCAGCATCAATGGGCTCAAGCGTGACAAGAATAGTGAGGTTGGCCCAGGATCGGGCAGTGTTTCATTGTGCTGTGCATAAGGTCTCTATGAGTCAGCATCGACTCAATGGCACCTAACAACAACAACAATTGATTATAAATATCACTCAGAAAAATAAAATTTCCAAAACATCACCCAAAGTCACACCCTTTGTATTATTTTAGAAGGATTTATTGGATTCTTCATCCTTGTGCTTTGGCTAAATGTTTCTGCCATTATTTGGATTATGCTATATTAATTCATTCTGGCTGAGGATGCAAGATAGATTCTAGAAGAGATCGCCTTATGAAAATGTGCAACATTCTGGGAACCAAAGAAGTAGCAATCTTACGTGATAACATTCGATCTAGAGTTTTATTGGTTAAATCTACTCAAATGCTTGCAGGGGCCAGGCAGGTAACATGAATTAGTAAAGTCTTAATTAAAAGTGTTGTGGATTGCAACAAACTGTAGCACATATGTGTGATTTAAAAGTTTCCAACTTCATATTTTAATTTCTATGCAAACCAATGAAAATATTCACCGGCCTTAATATGCCCAGTATGCTGACTGTGTTCTGAAATATAGATCTCACATTACTCTTCCCTCCTTGGTTCAAATACTTCTTTTTAAATACAATTAATCCCAGAATGGCTTCTTAAGAAAAACTCTTTAATGACCTCAGAAACTAACTCAGGCCAGAGTTCCCAGGATCTCTGCTCTTAAAGAAAATGTTCACGTTTTGTTAGGACCTTAGCTTCTCCTCTGACAGTGTTGTGCAGTGTTGACTATACCATGCCTTGAGGGGATGAGACTTGTGGGATGACTATCATGCCTCACAGTGGCAAAGAATGTGGCCATTCCGTTAGCTTTCATGCTGATAAAAAATGCAGCATCACCTGCTGTGGTCACCTGTGTTCAATCTCCCAAGTCAATATGAAAATTGACTGCCGTCACTTTTCCTTTAAAAATAAAACCAGTTGCTTCCATCAAGTCAACTCTGACTCATAGCAACTTAGTGTGAGTCAGAGTTGAATTGTGCTCCATAGGATTTCCATTGGCTGATGATTTAGAATGTTTCAAAGTGAAAAGCAATTATGACATTTAAACAAATGACCCTTTAAGAGAGAAAATAAAAATATTTTCCAAAGTCATGATGGAAAAGGTAAATTTGGTAGGTAGGGACAAAACAACTTGAAATGCATTAATAGCAATTTTTTTTCTTGTGAAAAGTGATTTCAATAGTTGTATCAAATCAGCAAATAGACTACAGTTTTTTGTAACTAGTATCTGATAGGTTTGATTACTTACAAATCACTCTGAGCAGTTCTGTGAAAAATGAAAATCTGTCACTACAATTATTTGACTAATTCTCAAATCAGCAACACAACTGGAGAACGTATGTTCTGATAGAGTCATATTAAGAGGGAAACTTTTCTTCCTGAAGTTTTTGTGGTTTTTTTGGTGTGTGTGTTTATGCAAAAATTGAAGAGGACACAACTTGACAAAGATTAATGAAGATCCTAAGGAGTATGCAGAACTAAGGGACAATTCCAGTAAATACTATAACAAAAACAATTTCTCAACAACAGTAATAACAAAAATGTATGAGTGTGGCTACATAGGTAAATGAGTATGCATATATATGTATGCTGTTGTTACTGTCGTTGAGTGCTATCAAGTTGATTCTGACTCATAGCGATCCTGTATAGGGCTTCTGACAAGCAGCTGGTGGGTTTTAACTGCAGACCTTGTGGTTCACAGTATAGTGCATATCCTATAGTGCCACACCAAGGATCCACATATGTGTATAGGAAGGAATATATGAGTACATGCATGTGAATATATGGGTGTATCTAAAGGCATATGTATATGCATGTTTGTGTGTGTTGCATATATATTCATCTATGTAATGAAGCACAGAGTTACAGAGACTTTCTAGACATTTTCTAACATCTCAGGGTACTGCTTTACTGGATTAAAAATCTTAGGACCATAGTTTCTTGAGACAACTTGGCCAACTGGCATAACATAGTTTATAAGGATGTAGTCCTGGTGTGGCGCTATAGGATAAGCACTGGACTGCTAATTGCAAGGTCAGTGGTTCAAACCTACCAACCACTCCTCAGAAACCCTATACTGAGTCGCTATGAGTTGGAACCAACTTGACTATACTTAAAAACAATGACCACATTTCATAACAATAATGTTCTACATCCTAGTTTGGCAAGTTACATCTAGGGTCTTAAAAGCTTATGACCAGCCATCTAAGATAAAATTATTGGTCTCTATTCATCTAGGAGCTCTGGTAGCATAGTGGTTACGAATCGGGCTGCGAACCTTAAGGTCAGCAGTTTGAAACTACCAGCTGTTCCACAGGAGAAAGATGAGGCTTTCTGCTCCCGTAAAGATTTACAGCCTCAGAAACCCTGTACAGGGTCACTGTGAGTCGGAACCGACTCTATGGCACATAACAACAACTCATTTAGAATTAAAAAGAAAGAAAAAAAATGAAGGAAACTAAAGACTAAAAAAACACCAATTTACAGGACTAATAGTTCACATGACAATGTCCTCATCTATCCTGGGACTAGAAAAACTAGATGATGCCCTGCTACCACTACCAACTGATTTGAAAGGAATTACATTAGATTGTTCTGGATAGAGTAGGAAAAAGGTTGTAGAAAAAAATTTAAATATCTATAAAACATCCAGACTTACTAGACTGTGATAGAGACTAGAGAAACCACCAAGATTATTGTCCTAAGATACTCTATGAACTTGGGACTGAAATCACTTCTAGAGGTTACCTTTCAGCTAAATAACAGGTTGGCTTATCAAATAAGTATTATCACTTGTGAGTACTGTGTTTCTTTAAACAATTAACTCTTTGAAATCAAATGGTCAACATTTACCCAAAAGCAAAGATGAGAAAGCAAGAAAGGGGAGGAAAGCTAGATCAATGGATTCAGAGCATACAGAATGGAAATAATGAGAATGCTGACACATTGTGAACATTGCAATCGGTATCTTGTCGCAGTACAAACAATTTGTATAACAATTATTAAAGGGAAACCTAATTTGCTATGTAAAGTTTCACCTGAAGCACAATAAATAGTTTTTTAAAAAAGAAAAAATCTGAATAGGAACCAACCCCAGCTCTCCTGAGATGACTCTCATAATCGAGTGATTCCAAGTAGTCAGGTACAATGGTTTTTGCCCATTAGTGTTTCCCAGGCATCATGTCTGGTAATAAGTGTTGTTGAGGTGATGCCAACTCCTAGAGACCCTACCTTGTTGTTGCTGTTGTGAAGTACCACCGAGTCGATTCCAACCCATAGCAACCTTGTATAGGGTTTCCAAGGAGCAGCTGGTGAGCTTGAACCGCCAACTTTGCAGTTCAAATGACTTTGCAGCCTGGCACATTAACCCACAGCGCCACACCAGGACTCCAGAGACCCATCTACAACAGAACAGAACACTGCGTGCTCCTGTACCATCCTCTCAATGGTTGCTATACTTGAGCCCATCGCTGCACCATGGTATCCACCCATCTTGTTAAGGGTTTTCCTCCTTTTCATTGTCCACTTATCAAGCATGATGTCCTCCTCAAGGGACTGGTCTTTCCTGATAAACTATCCATCCTTGCTTCTACGAAACATTCTGGCTGTATTTCTTCCAAGATGAATTTGTGGGTTCTTCCAGCGGTCCATGAAGAATAGTCAGTATTCTTCACCAACACCATAATTCAAAGACATCAATTCTTCTGTCTTCTTTATTCATTGTCCACCTTTCACATGCCTATGAGGTGATTGGCTTGGGTCCGGTGCACTTTAGTCCTCAAAGTGAATCCTTTACCTTTTAACACTTTCAAGAGATAATTTACAACAGATTTGCCCAATGAGACATGTCCGTTGATTTCTTAACTGCTGCTCTTTTATGGGCATTGATGGTGGATTCAAGTAAAATTAAGTCCTTAACATCTTCAGTCTTTTCTGTTATGATATTGTTTATCGGCCCAGTTGTGCGGATTTTTGTTTGCTTTATGTTGAGATGTTATCCATACTAAGTGGGTACTTAAGATATAGCTGCTGAATGAATGTTTCACTTAATCCCAAATTGTGATTTCAATCTCGGTGTAGATGTCCGCATGGAACAGTGTTACCTGAGGTGGGATGAAGATGAATGTGTCCATCCTGTGCCAGGAAAGTTCCGCATGGACGCCTGCTGCTGTGCAGTTGGGGCGGCTTGGGGCACTGAGTGTGAGGAATGCCCTAAGCCTGGCACCAAGGAATATGAGACTCTGTGTCCCCGCGGGCCCGGCTTTGCCAACAGAGGGGATGTTCTTACTGGACGGCCATTTTATAAAGGTAACAAACAGCAGTTCCCTGTTCCTGCTGCATTAAATAGGTCTTTCTTTCCACATTCTCTCAGAATTGGTTTTACTCTGCAGTTTCCCACTGTGTTTTCTTAGATAAACATGATCTGTAGCCAACCTCATCACCCATATAAAATAATCTATGTAAGAATAAGGAGTTCTGGTAGCATAGTGTTTACAAATCAGGCTGCTAACCTCAGGGTCAGCAGTTCGAAACTACTAGCCATTCTGAGGGAGAAAGATGAGGCTTTCTGCTCCCATAAAGATTTACAGACTCAGAAACCCTATGCAGGGTCGCTGTGAGTCAGAACTCACTCCATAGCACGTAACTACCAACACCACCATATAAGAATTCAGGGAGCCCAGTGGCTCTGTACAATAAGTACTGGACTGCAAATCAGTGGTTTGAGCCCACCAGCCACTCCACAAGAAAAAGATGAGGCTTTCTGCTCCCTAGGTATATACATTCTCAGAAACCCTATACAGGGTAGCTATGAGTTGGAAATGACTCGATGGTCCTTAGCAACAACATATGAGAATCCAAATAAAGATATTAAAACAAACAACGAATCTAACTCTTTGTCTTTTACTCTATCTTTGCTTCCCTTACAACAAGTGGACTAGATGCAGCCCTGGTTTAGTGAAAAATTCTCCATCCTTCCTAAACTTTACAAAATGAATGATCAGAAATAAATGATCAGAACTCACCATTTAGAATATAGAATCTTTTGTACAATTGAAACCATCTGTGAGACTTCTGAAAAATTTGGTTGCCCTCATTTATACTTCGGTACATACTTTTAGTCATGATAGGTTTTTAATGTAAAGTGATGGACCTGCTCTTTTGTAACAAGCAGCTGTATCTCTGGCTTCACTCACTTTTAGATATCAATGAATGCAAAGCATTCCCTGGGATGTGTACCTATGGAAAGTGCAGAAATACAATTGGAAGTTTCAAGTGCCGCTGCAATAGTGGCTTTGCTCTAGACATGGAGGAAAGAAATTGCACAGGTAAGTTTGATGTTTTGCTTTATTGGTAAACTCTGACCCTCCGTCTTTTGCACTGTTTGAAAGTATTGCCAACAAAAGCCCATCTTTTGTCTTTAAAAGCATGTAATATATATATTTTTTGCTTTCCTTATATTTAATTGGTCCTCCAAATAAACATCTCATCAGAGAGCTGCTAAAAGCATGAAGGTGCTATTTTTTATGTACAGAGTATCAAAATGATATGATTTAAAATATATGCACATTAAAAAGCAGCCATAAGATAAATAAGAATTGTATAAACTTACGTAGAACACTGACTGGAAGGTCACTCCTCAGAAACCCTATACAGGGCCACTATGGGTCGGAACCAACTCAACAGCACTTAACAACAACAACAATATAGAATACTCAGGAGTCTTGGTGGTGTAGTCAGTTATATATCGGACTCTAACTGCAAGGTCAGCAGTTTGAATCCACAAGCCGCTCTGTGGAAAATGAGGCTTTCTGCTCTCATCAATATTTACAGCCTCAGAAACCCTATACATGGTCACTATGTGTCAGAACCAACTCAACGGCACACCACCATCACCTTATAGAATACTGGGAATGTGGTGGCTATAGAGGATAAGCAATGTACTGTGAGCCTCAAGGTTGGTGGTTTGAGCCCACCAGATGCTCTGTGGGAGAAAGAGGAGGCTTTCTGCTCCTGCAAAGATTTATAACCTTGGAAACCTTATACAGGGTCACTGTGAGTCAGAACCCACTTGATGGCATTTGATAGCAGCAACAATATAGGATACTGTTAACAATTTTTTTAATGCTTTCTTATGAATAAATTATAACTTATTTTCCTCATCTGTAAGCAGAAAATATTATTTCAGCAACCATCCAAGTCCAGATCTATCCCCATTTCCTTTAAATAAAGTGAAATTTCAAACTTTCATATTAAATAATAAAACATATTATTTCAAATACCTATAATAAATCTCCAAGTTCTACTTGTCAGATCTCTTTTTTCCTATTATCTTTGGCATCTTCCCTTTTCTCCCTGTCACACATCTGCTAAACTTCTTCTCAACCTCCACTTGACTGTCTGTCTCTCTGGACTGTTTTTAATCCCATGAAGCACCACAGCGGTCACCTATTCCATACTGTGTCATTGAGCTTACTCATATATCTACCCAGGCCAGACTATTCAAAGTATTCCAAAGTTCCCCGTTTCCTAATCCCCTCAACATTGTTATTTCCGCTTCTGGGTTGCTGAAGTTTGCTGGAGAGAATCTGGGGAGCTGACTAGAAGACTAGATTGCTGCATTCAGCTTGATCCCAAGTCCTCCCAACTCCTTCCAACACTCGTATTCACCTTTTCTCCACTACATATTACATTCCTTTCAAAATTGCTTCAAAATCTCTCCCCTGACCCACACGCCCACTCATATCCTTCTTTGTTCCCTTTCTTCTTTTTGAGATCAAAGCTCTAAACAGGATTGCCTTTGCCCTTCTCACACACCCTCCCTTATGATAGAATTTCCGTTTCCTTAGATATTCTCTTTTATCCAGTTTCAAAGAACAAGGGGTGATGTGTGCCCTAGACTTTGTAGTTAGTTCCTGTTTGCAAACTCCTTGCTCCTCCTGGTCCAATCTCTTTCTTAACAGGGCTGATTGCTCTTTCTCTCTCTAGCATGCCCTTCTCTTCACTGGATGCTTCTCCTAAACTTAGCAACATGCTCAAAGTGTTTCCACAGCTCTTCTTTCTACTCACACTGCCATCTTTCCCACTTTCACCTCGCTCTTAAAAACTGAAAGAAAAAAAAAAAATGTTTTCTCATTGTATATTCTTCTTTACTCTCCATTGCCCAAACCTTGCCTGGAGATGTTCTTCTCTGTTTCTGTGGTGTTTCCGCCTCTCTGGATTTTCTGCCCCTCAGATCTGGCTTGCGGGGTGGGGGGTCTTTGTTGAGCTGATTCCCAGGTGCTATCTCGAACTCTATTCTTCCCTGGGTTTCAGTCCCAAATTTTTTAATTCTGTCTGAACAGCCCATCACTCATATGTCAGTTTGTCTTACTGTTGTGGTTTCCATGTTGCTGTGATTCCGAAAGCAATGCCACTGTTCTTTTAAATAGCAACAGAGTTGCTGGTGGTAGAGAGGTTTCAGCTGAGCTTTCAGAAGAACACAGACTAGGAAGGAGAGATGGACTACTTCAAATATTTATGCATTTAAAGACATCATGGATCGTAGTGGGACACTATCAGCACCAGAATATTGAACATTGAAACATGATGAAAAACACTGGAATATTGTCAGATAGAGTGTTGGAACATGAGCCCCTTGGGTTGGAAGGCACTTAAAATATGACTTGGGAAGAGCTGCCTCCACAAGTAGAGTTAACCATGATGTTGTGACTGGAGTAAAGCCCTTGGGACATTTATGTGCTGATGGAGCACAATTCAAAATGTGGAAAACAGCTATAACCATCCATTAATAATCAGAACATGGAATGTACTAAGTATGGAGCTAGGAAAACTGGATATTGTCAAAAATGTAATATATGAACATCAATATCCTATGCATTAGTGAGCTGAAATGGACTGGTATTGGCCATTTTGAATCTAAAAATCACATGATTTACTATGCTGAAAATGACAAATTCAAGAGAAGTGGTGTAGCATTCATCATCAGAATGCCTACAGAATGATCAATTAATACTAGTATTGAAATTTATGAACCAAGAAAAGCCAGTGATGATGAAATTGATAAAACTCTACCTTCTTCAGTCTGAAATTGATCAAACATGCAATCAAGATATATTGATAATTAGTGGCAATTTGGAGTGCAAAGGTTGGAAACAAAGAAGAAGGATCAGTAGTTGGAAAATATGGCCTTGGTGATAGAAATGATATTGGAGATCGCATGATAAAATTTTGCAAGACCAATGACTTCATTACAGATATCTTATATAAACAATATAAAAGATGACTACACACTTGGACCTCACCAGATGGAATACACAGAAATCAAATTGACTACATCTGTGAAAAGAGACAGTGGAAAAGCTCCATATCATCAGCCAAAATACAGCCAAGGCCAGACTGTGGAACAGACCATCAACTGCTCAAATACAAGTTTAGTCTGAAGCTGAAGATAATTTAAACAAGTCCATAAGAGCCAAAATATGGCCTGGAATATATCTCACCTGAATTTAGAGATCATCTGAAGAACAGATTTGATGCATTTGACACTAAATGCTGAAAATCAGAAGAGTTGTGGAATGACCTCAAGAACATTATACAGGAAGAAAGCAAAAGGTCATTAAAGAAGACATGAAAGAAGGGAAAAAAAACAAAATGGATGTCAGAAGAGACTGAGACTTCCTCTGCAGCATAGTTACTAAAGCAAATGGAAGAAATTAGGAGGTAAAAGAGCTGAATAAAACATTTCAAAGGTCAGCTCGAGAAGACAAATTCAAATATTATAACAAAATGTTCAAAGACCTGGAGTTAGACTACCAAAATGGAAGAACATGCTCAGGATTTCTCAAGCTGAGGCAACTGAAGAAAAAATTCAAGCCTCTACTTGTATTGAAGAATTCCATAGGGAAAATATTGAATGATACAGAAAGCATCAAAAGAAGATGGGAGGAATACATTGAGTCACTATATCAAGAAGAAATGGTCAATGTTCAGCCATTTCAAGAGGTAGCATATGATCAAGAGCAAGTGATACTGATGGCAGAAGTCCAAGGTGCACTGAAGGCACTGGCAAAGAACAAGGCAGTGGAAATTCATACAAATTTAAATCTTGCAACAAATTGATGCAGCACTGGAGTTACACGCTCATCTATGCCAAGTTGTGAAGGCAGCTATCTGGCCAACAGACTGGAAGAGATTCATATTTGTATCCATTCTGAAGAGAGATGATTATGGGGAAATAATCGGACAATTATCACTAATGTCACATGAAAGTAAAATTTTGCTAAAGATAATATAAAAACAGCTGCAACTGTACATTGACAGAGAACTGCCAGATTCAGAAGAGGACTTGGAATGAAGGCTATAATTTCTGATTTCAGATGGATCTTGGCTGAAAGCAGTAAATACCAAAAAGATGTTTACCTTTGCTTTATGGACTAGACAAAGACTTTTGATTGTGTGGGTCATGACAAGCTGTGGACAATATTGCAGAGAGTGAGTATTCCAGACACTTAATTGTGCTTATGAGGAACCTATACATAGACCAAGAGAGTTGTTTGAACAGAATAAGGAAACATTGGATAGTTTAAAATTAGGAAAAATGTGTGCCAGTGTTGTATTCTTTTACTGTATTTATTCACCTGGTATGCTGAGCACATAATTCCAAGAAGCTGGATAATATAAAGAAGAACTTTGAATCAGGATAGGAGGAAGACCTGCGATATGATATAACCTTGTTTGATGATGAATTTCAAAGAACACAAGCCTTCAATATAGGTTGCACCTCAATATAACGGAAACAAAAATCCTCACCACTGGACCAATAAACAACATCTATATAAATGGAGAAAAGATTGAAGTTGCCAAAAATTTTTATTTTCTTGGATCAACCATCAGCACTCATGGAAGCAGTGGCCAAGAAATCAAATGATGTATTTATTGCATTAGGCAAATCTGCTGCATAAGACCTCTTTAAAGCATTCAAGGGTAAAGATGTCAGTTTGAAGACTAAGTCGGGCCTGACCCAAGCCATGATATTGTCAATAACCTGATATGCATGTGAAAGTTGGACAATGAGAAAGAGAAGACTGTAGAAAAATTGATGCATTTGAGTTGTATTGAAGGGAATATTAAAAGTGCCATGGACTGCCAAGAAAACAAACCGATCTGTGTTGGAAGTATAGCCAGAATACTCCTTGGAAGCTAGGATGGCCAAACTTCGTCTCTTACTTTATACTTATTATCAGGAAGGACCAGTCCCTGGAGAAGAATATCATGTTTTGTAAAGTGGATGGTAGCAGAAAAAGAGGAAGACACCCCCCCATACACACAAAGAGATGGATTGGTACAGTGGCAACAGCAGTGGGTTTAAGCATAGCAATGATTTTGAGGTTGGCCGAGGACTGGACAGTGTTCCGTTCTGTTGTGCATAGGGTCGCTATGAGTCAGTACTGACTCAATGGCACCGAACAACAATAACATCTGAACAATGTCTTTATAGTCTTCCTTTGTACCATCCACCCTTATTTCATCCTACTAGAATACTCCCCTGAATGCATTAATTGTTTAATTTCTCTCAGAATGGAAGCTTCACACTTAACGTTTGGTATCTCCATCTTTTGGGTAGAAAAGCTAAAAGCTATGTAAAATTTCCCTTTGAAATGGCTATTCAAGGACTTAGAACATTTATTCTAAAGTATTCTGACATAGGTTGAGCTTTTCAGGAAATGACATCTGAGCCAGAGCAGTACTGTATGAAGTCCTGGGGTGGCATTGCGGGTTAATGCGCTGGATTGCAAGGTCGGTTTGAACTGCAAAGTCAGCAGTTCAAGCTCCCCAGCTGCTCCTTGGATACCCTATACAGGGTTGCTATGACTCAGAACTGACTCAATGGCACTTAACAATAACAACAACCATTCTTTATCTTCTGCTTCTTATGTTTGGCATTCTCAGTCATCATACCTCCTCCTACCTCTGCATACACTAATTACCCACCTTTACAATCTAGCCACTGTAGCAACTTACTGTTTCCAGAAGTGCATTCTTTTTTCCTAACCTATACACTTGCTCCTCTGTTTGTCTCACATCTTTAAAGTCAGAATTTCTATACATCTTTCAAGGCCCAGTTCAAAATCCACTTACTTCCAAATTCATATCACAGAACAGCTAGTATACATAAAATAGAAACAAGATCTTTATAATTATTGATTCACTTAATACTATGCGGTAGATTCTCTAGTAGCATAGTGGTTATGAATTGGGCTGTGAACTGCAAGGTCAGCAGTTCGAAACTACCAGCTGTCCCACGGGAGAAAGATGAGGCTTTCTGCTCCTGTAAAGATTTACAGCCTCGGAAACCCTGTACAGGGTCACTATGAGTTGGAACTGACTCCACGGCACATCACAACCACAACCACCATATGGTAGATTCTATTGTAATCCCAATTTTATGGACAAGGAAACTAAAGCAGAGAGAGGTTAAATGACTTGCATACATTTCCTACAGAACCTTTTTACCGATTTCATCTGGTTCCAGAGTCTGTATACTTTACATTATACAGCTTCCACAACATCCCAGCAGCCAAAATTTGTCCCTGATTTTGTCATAGGACTTATTGTATGTTCTTCCTATGACTCTTTTCCAGTTCCTAGATACTGATAGACAAAAAGAGACAAAAAGTCATTGATTCAATTTGTATATTTTTACTGATGACTTTTTTAATAATAATTTTGTTTAAAAGAAATTGTTTGTATTTTTCAGTAGCCTCTTTAACTGGGGAAGTAAACAGGGACACCCAAAAGGTGGGAGAAAGCAGGGACTAAGCCCCCAAGAGAGCATGTACAAGTTATTGACTGACTAAATCCTGTGATTTCAAAAGTGAAATTCTTCAAATTAATCAAGAGAAGCTGGCAGAAACATTGGTATCCCCACTGTGACAAAATGTGTATAAATGGGTCATGTTACCTTTGTCCTTCATCATGTTTTGTAAATATGGCTTCTCTGTTGAAAAACCCCAGTAGACCTTATTACAGGTTTGGAAGACTTTTCCAAGATGTGAGACAAACAGAGAGGAGCAAGTACATAGTTTAGGAAAAAATAATGCATTTCTGGAAATAGTGAGGTGCTACAGTGGCTAGATTGTAAAGGTGGGTAATTAGTGTATGTAGCAGTAGGATGAGGTATGATAAAGAATGGTTGTTGTTAAGTGTCGTTGAGTCAGTTCCAACTCATAGGGACCCTGTACCAAAATCAAACTTGGAAAATATAAACCATGCTATTGGAAATTCTTATGCACTGTAGCATATGTAAAATGACAAATAAAAAGATACATCATGTTTCTTCATGATTTTTTATAAGATCAGTAAGCTTTTCACGTTTGAATGTGACACCCAAAAGGTGCATCTGAATGTGACACACTGTGCATGACCTTGCTTACTGCATCTGCCTGTGAGCCTTTCTATCTCTGGTCAGCCAGACTTATCTGCTCAGAGACATGGCCCCACCTTCCACTGCTTACACTATGGACAGATGGAAGTGGGCTAATGTAGCAGAACCAGTGTAGCCTCATCGCTACCCATGGGCATCATTCCATGTGCTTCTTGCTTCCTCATATACCATACCTCATTCGGCACATACTGCAGTTGTGTAGCTCATCCTTTTAAGCCCCAAAGAGAAATCCACAGTTCCAGAATTCTTAAAGGCAGAAAGCTACCACCTGCCTGTTGGTGGTGGCCGTTTTGGCAGTTGGGGAAAGGAATGTACCTAAGGCCCTGTCTACTCTGTCAAATCCACTAAAAACATACCTTCATTCTGGTAGCCACTGGGTTCTCCAACATTTCACTTGAGGGTCAAATCCTTCTCCCTGCCCTCTCAACTCATTGTTTTGTTTTGTTTTGTTTTGTTTTTCCAACTATGTGAATTAGACATCGATGAGTGCAGGATTTCTCCTGATCTCTGTGGAAGTGGAATCTGTGTCAATACCCCAGGCAGCTTTGAATGCGAGTGCTTTGAGGGCTACGAGAGTGGGTTCATGATGATGAAGAACTGCATGGGTAAGCATGGTTAGCGCGCCCGCTCCAGACTTGAAACCAGATGAGCACAGACGTGTTTTCTCAACCTGAGCTTGTCTCCAGAGCTCTTAACAACATGCTTGTTAAGTAGCTGTGGTGGAAGAGAGAACAGATTAAATGTCAGACAGGAAATCTGTTCCTGGATTGTCAACTTCTTGATGCCTTCATAGCAGTGAAGTATTGAGGGTAGATTTTTATTCATAGAATCAAGAATGCAAACACAACCTAAGTACTCAGGAGACATTCAGTTAAAACGTGGTGACCCCAGAGTTTATATTGAGTCATGTTAATCCCTTGCTATGTCCTTTATTTGTATATTATTTCAAACTCTTTGACTATCAAAAGCCTCTGAGTCCACAGTTTTATTTTCATTAAAACCAATGACTTATCTCAAAGGATTTAACAGGCAATTGTACTAAGTAGGCTCTCAACCTATATATTTTATTCACTTTGATTAGAGAACTAGGCACCAGAATAACCAACTGCCATATATGGTGTCTTGCGGGAAAGCTATTATAAAGTAAATAGTGTTTTTTTTTTTACTTCTTATGAGCCTGCTCATTATTACAAGTAAATTTCTTGATAGTTTACAATATGTGAGAGCCGAGAACCTTTACCATTGTCTGCTGGTAGTGGAAAATGTGAAGAGAGCTTTATCTCAAAACCTGTTAAACACATACCTCAGCTAGTATTCTTTCTCCCTTGCTGTTTGTATGATTTTCCCCCCTGAGAGTTCTTTAATGGATCTCACGTTTTTACCTTTCAGACATTGACGAATGTGAACGTAACCCTCTCCTTTGTAGGGGTGGCACCTGTGTGAACACTGAGGGCAGCTTTCAGTGTGACTGCCCACTGGGACACGAGCTGTCACCATCACGCGAGGACTGTGTGGGTGAGTTTGTCTCCTCAGCCCATAGACCCATCAAGCACCACTGGTAAAGATAAGAAGTGTATTTTAACAAGCCTCCTGCTGTTCCAGGAAATCCAACTGACTGAAAGTTGGATATTTAGGCACACTGCATTTGGGTCCAAACTGTGTCTTCAGAGAATGACACACTTAGTGACACACTCAAGTGAGCTTGCATCGTTGTCACCTTCTTTTCATTAAAAGCCCAGTCAAGTGGTGCTTATATGAGGGCCCCAAGGAAGGCCATACAGTTCCACATATCCCAAAGAAAGCTGTATCTGTGTAGAAACCTACTTGCTCACCCATGTGTAGCCTGCTTTTGCCCATACAGCCCATTCCCTCAGGCTACATCTGCTCTACCCGTCCGTTGTCATGTGTGTGAACACATATGCTCTCCCCCACCCTCCAGGTGTCACAGAAGTCCCATGGTCTCTCCACTGCTCTGAACTCAGTAGGGATGGCAGACGGAGATGGGAGATGACTAAATAACCCAGGAATGAACAATCCATCTTAGTGCTTTTGTAAATATATGAGGACCTCTCTGTTTTAGTATAGTGGCTTTAAAACTTAGATTTACACTAGAAAGAGTTTCTTCATGGGAAATAGTTCTTGAAAGTGTACTCAAATATAAAACATTTCAAAATAGAACATGTCAATTTAAGAAGATAATACTGAAAATGATTCCTTACTACCCAGATGTTTATTTATAAGCCATATAAATGTGTGGAGTCCTGGATGTGGCGATATAGAATAAGTACTGGACCACAAGGTCAGTTTGAACCACAGTCGGCGATTCAAGCTCACCAACCACTCCTCAGAAACCCTATACAGGGTTGCTATGAATCAGAACCAACTCAACTGTACTTAACAATAAACACATACATATTGATGTGATTAGATGCACAATGAACCTTAAACCAGGGATGAAATTGATACTTTTAAAAGATGAATGAAAACATTTTAAACATTTCACTTTAATGGTGGTGGTGGTGATGTGCCGTGGAGTCGGAACCGACTCATAGTGACCCTGTACAGGGTTTCCAAGGCTGTAAATCTTTACGGGAGCAGAAAGCCTCATCTTTCTCCCGCAGAACAGCTGGTAGTATTGAACTGCTGACCTTATGGTTCGCAGCCCGATTCGTAACCACTATGCTACCAGAGCTCCTTCTCTTGCTAATAGTTACAGAATATTTATTCGTGGTTGAGTATTCATACTGTAATATAGTGACTGAGGCTTCTAACTGTAGTGTTAGTTTAGCTTTTTTGTTATAGTTTAGCTTTCATAGACCATATGTTTGAAAAGTGTTTCTCAAATACAGAAGGCACAATATAAAATATACATTTATATACAATACAAAGTCTGTGATCATGGGCACAACTTCATAGTTCACCATCTTCTTGGTAACTAAGAATGTTGAATGAATTTCTTGTCACATCTGTTTAGGTTAACATTGTTTTTACCTTGTATTGTGCTTGACAAATAAATATCTTGTACAAGGAAAAGTATCATTCCATCATTTTCTTGCTATTTTCTGTTACTACTGATAGTTTTTTATTCTACAGTTAGATGTTTTTTAAGACATCTACCCTTTTTTTTTTGACGGAGAGTTTATTTTAAAATAAGTAAAGCAAGCTGGAGATTTACTGATACAGGCGTACTCAACACAATACTAAGAAAACAAGTAAAGGTCCCACTATTAATGCTTTCATTTGTGTGGAACCAACAGAATTTCCTCAGAATTTCGAGTTCTGTAGGTAACACTTGACCATGGAATAAAGACCAGGTTAGCATGTCTGTGCAAATACATACACGGAATCTTGTAAGCTTCATTTCTGCCATGTTCTATATCTGCACTGTCTAAGATACACTAGTCACTAGCCATGTGTGGCTATTTGATTTATATTCAATTAAAGTGAAATACTAATGAAAAATCCAGTTTTGCTCTTACCATCCACATTTTTGAAGTGTTCAGTAGTAGCATGTGTGGCTACATATTGGACAACATAGATAAGGATTTTTTCTACCATTTTAGCAAGATCTACTGGGCAGCATTGCCCTAGATAGAAATAAATAGGGCAAGAAATAGATTCCAGTGTTTGTTTCTGTACCCCAAGAGATTACCTTGCTTCCCCTGAAGTACACACTGGAGACCACTGCACTAATACAGCATGTATCTGATAGTTTTAGTAATGGGTTATTACATAAGGCATTCATTCTGTGTATCTTTTGTAGATATTAATGAATGTTCCCTGAGTGACAATCTCTGTAGAAATGGAAAATGTGTGAACATGATTGGGACCTACCAGTGCTCCTGTAATCCTGGCTACCAGGCCACACCTGACCGTCAGGGCTGTACAGGTAAGGGTGGGCTGAGCAGGTCTGCAATGTATGTCTCAAAGCAGACTAGGAAAACTACTGACCCTAAATAGATAGCAAAATTGATCAGAGAGCTCTTTGCCCTAATCTGAGCCTAAGAATTGGGGCAGACCTCTAAGATGCCATGATTTGGAGGTTTTGCAGAGGAATCACTAGTCTTTTCTTATAATAGAAGATTTCCTAAAGTCCATAGTTTTTTACATTTCTGAATTCTTCAACTTTAAGGACACTGGAATTAGATGTCCAATGGGATGCTGTCTAACTGGAAATATAAAGAACTAAGAAGGACTAATGATAATTACAAAAAACCAAATTCAAAGCCACTTAAGTCTTTCCTGCCTTTGTTGTAAGCAAGTGAACCATCACAAGTCATCAAGTAATGTGGTGTTAATGTTCTTTTCACAGATGTTGATGAATGCATGATAATGAACGGAGGCTGTGACACCCAGTGCACTAATTCAGAAGGAAGCTATGACTGTAGCTGCACTGAAGGCTATGCCCTGATGCCAGATGGGAGATCATGTGCAGGTACCAAGAGAGAAACACACATGCTTTACACACGTAGCTAATTTTATTTTCTCAATTGTTGAGTGGAACTGGACTGAAAAAAAAAATTAAAAAATAGGTGATCCTAATAGAATCAACTTTGTTTTCACTTGATGTTTTGTATCATCAGATATTGATGAATGTGAAAATAATCCTGACATTTGTGATGGTGGCCAGTGTACCAACATTCCTGGAGAGTATCGCTGTCTCTGTTACGATGGCTTCATGGCTTCAATGGACATGAAAACTTGCATTGGTATGTATCACAAGAACAGGATTAATATTTATACAGACACATGCACACACACACACACACACATTTTACATATGAGTAGAAAAAGACTTTTGTTGGTTGTAGTCTGAAAAATTCAGATCATCACATTTAAAGCCATGAAACTAAAAAGGAAGGACTATTTGGGGACAAGAAAAGTCTTAAAGATTGGGTTGTGTATTTGTGCACTATTAGGTCTTACAAAATAGTTCTATAAGTTTTATCTATATATTTCAGTACTGTGCTATTCAGTTTAAAAAGATAGCTTCTAAATTACTAATTAGCCAACATACTGAAAATTCATTTTCTAGATGTAAATGAGTGTGACTTAAATTCGAACATCTGCATGTTTGGAGAATGTGAGAACACCAAGGGATCCTTCATCTGCCACTGTCAGCTGGGCTACTCAGTGAAGAAGGGGACCACCGGATGCACAGGTAGGTTTCAAAGCCAACCTTTGGTATCACTTCTTCCTTGCTCTGTGAGACCAGTTACCCACAACCAGACTGTGATGAGTAACTGGCTCATCTCTATGTAGCATATCGCCTCTGCCACCCTCACCACTTAACTGACTGTGGATACCAACAGGGTGAGTGAGCATGTGGAATCTGGTTCTCATGTCCTTCTGGTGGCTCTTTCAACAATATTCATTTCTAAATATGACTGCTGCCCAAATAAGAGACCACACATAAAGAAGGAGCTCTCAAGAGAACATGAGGTGTCACGTTTTTTTTGTTGTTGTTATTATAGTTCTTCAGAATGAGTGAAAATGAATCTACAGGTCTGTTTTGACTTCCTTTCTCCCTTCCTTTCCCTCGTATTTCCTCTCCTTTCTCTTCCTTCCCATTTGGCTCTCTTTGATTAAAACAAGCCCCCCCCCCACCTTTATTTTACCCTAGTTGCTTGTCTTCAATCCACTTCACTTCTTTGCTCATTCCAATCATTTTATCCCTTTTTCTCCCTCTCCATTGAGTAGTTTTAGCATTTTTGTATACAGGTGGAGCTAGGAAATCCCAAGGGTGAGGGTTTTTTCGTCACTGTTGTATTTATGGTCCATGTATGTGGTATTTTACTCAAGGCCTACGGTGGGTGGCTTTCACTGCAGTCTGGCCCTTCAACTGACAATTTCAGGGAAAGGCAAGTCATGAAAAAGGTGTGCTCTGTGGTTCTGTAGGGATATAACTGGGTTGATGTGAAACCAGTACTGTGTGTGCATAGTACATAATTATTGACCTAGACAGTGAAGACTATTCTTTCTATAGAAAGATTTAGGACCCCAAATGTCTATGTTTATACACACAGACACCTCTCATAAAGCATCTGGTCACTATCCACATAAGAGTTCCAGTGGATATTGTTCCATATTCTCAAACAAAACAAATATATTCACCAAAATGATGGATGTTTCAAACCCTATAAAGTTTTGTATTGATTCTAAAAAACAGAAAAGGCCATGTAAGTTTTAAAAGAGAATGTACTATTTAAACCAGTTGCCTGGGAATGGATTCAGACTGGTAGAAGCCCCAAGTGTGACAGATCAGAACCATGCTCCCTAGAGTTCTCAGAGGCTGTTTTTTTAGAAGTTGATCGCTAGGCCTTTCTTCTAAGGTACCTCTGAATGCACTCAAACCTCCAAACTTTCACTTAGCACCTCTGGGTGACATCAACTCCTCCTTGCCACTCTTTTCACGGAGTAGCTGGCAGTTTCCTCTAGGTAAGGGCTTGTTTGATTTCTTTCTTGAACTTGTAAATCTAGAGTCAACAAAAATACAAATAGAAGTGATACTATTGTTTATCCTATTCAATTTTGAGTGTTTCCATATGGATGCTAAAAATTTTGCCTATACAGAAATCTACTTGGAAGTGGAATTAATTAGTTTGTATTTTACCTTTTTCATATTAACTGTCATTTCCTAAAGATGTGGATGAGTGTGAAATTGGTGCCCACAACTGCGACATGCACGCCTCATGTCTGAATGTCCCAGGAAGTTTCAAATGCAGTTGCAGAGAAGGCTGGGTTGGAAATGGCATCAAATGTATTGGTAAGTTTTGAACTTAAATATCATTTGCTAAGATGAAATTCTTCAGGGCTCTTCTGCATCTTTGTTAAGCCACATACATGAATTGGAAAATGCTGTTCACTTTCACTGATTTTCTTGTAAATAAAAAGCTATCATTCACGCAAGGTAATTCCTGTCTGTGAGTTTCTTTTAACTTGAGTATAAATGATCAAATCACAATATGTCTCAGCATCTTTTTTTTTTTTTAATATGTTGTTTTTCAGCAAAAATCATTTGTTATGCAGCCTGTGATTGACAGGAAAATGACTAATATACTTTTCCAGTCTATTCATTGAATTATCAGTGAGATTTTAAATCCAGTGAAATAAACAGAAGAAATTAAAAGGTCTTGTCAGATAACATTAGTTTGTAGTAAGTGGTCAATGACTTTCAACTCGAAAATAGAATCATTCTTACAGGCAAATGGAAGGCAGTTGCTATTCCCCAAGTTGTGTAGTTTAGAACCAGCATCTAATAAATTTTTTATAGCCCTGAGGCACAGACTTGGATAATACCCTTGCTGGCATTCACAGTGCAGCTTACTATGCTCAATGTTTTGCGTGCCTGAACAATAACATATTTCTCCAACTGCTAAGAACTATCTAGGTCAATTTAAAATAGAAAAGAAAGTCAGCTGAATTGGCCTTCCCATGATGATTCATTAAAAGCTTACAGGTCTGCAGCCAGAATTAAAGAATGACCCTAAAGTCTCTTAACCATTACTATAAACTGGTGAGAATCTACTTTTCTATCCATTCAAATGTTCTATGCTTGTCAGATGTTTATGAGATGGCTATAAAATTTAAATTATCATAATTTTCAAATAGCTTTGCTAAGTAGCGTTCTATGATGACTTCATTATATTCACTAGCTACCCATTTGTCAAGCCATCCCTCATTAATTTCACTACTTTTTAGCCATGTCCTCATCACATGTCCTAGTCCCATTTGCCTGCTGTTTTCTCTCCTATCTTACTTAAATTTTCTCTCTTCTAGCTTCACTTTTTTGTGATTTTTGCTCTTACATCAATCTAGCCAGTTCCCTGGTGGTGCTGTAGGGTAAGCATTGGGGCTGTTAACCATGAGATCTGTGATTCAAAACCACCAATTGCTCTATGGGAGTAAGGTGAGGCTTCCTGCTCTCATAAAGATTTACAATCTCAGGAACCTCCATGTAGTGTCACTATAGTCGGAGTTGACTCCAGGGCAGTGAGCTTTTTTTTTTTTAAATCTTCTGGCTAACAGTGGCAAAGTGGCCTGCCTTCTGGGCAAGTGTTCAGTTTCCAGTCACCCCTACTCCATTGTAAATATCAGTGACCCACCCATTAGCATCAGCATTCCCTTGCTGTAGTCTTCGTATTTCTCTGTCTCTCTCTGCTGGGCTCTCTAAGAGCTTCCTCCCTCTTTGAAGCCCTTGCATTCCCTCTTCTAATGGCACCACAGTAATCTTTTAAATCTGGGACCTGATCTCTTCAGTATCTTTGTTTTAACTCATTGAATTTTGTTTAACATCTAGCCTTTTTCCTTTGGTTTCCAAAGCCCTCTGCCGTCTGTCCACTGACCATCATTCTAGCTTCATCTGCTGTCACCCACCCACAGATGCTACTGTGACCTCCTGTAATTTCTTTAGGCCAACCAAGTTCTTTCCCTTCTCTGTGTTTTTATATATGCTGTTCCTTCTGCAGGAAATACCCTTCTCTGCTTCTATTCAACAGGCTAACTCTTGCTTATTTTTTTGGTGTGAACATAGTTCAATAATATTTCTTCTGTGGAGCCTCCCTTGATCCTGCAGTTCAAATGAGATGTCCCTTTTATTCTCCCATTCTATCCATGTAACGTTTCTTCATGGTACATTTACAATAATTTTTATCAACTTCAGAGTTTAACATCTCTCTTCCACTGGATTGAGTTCCCTGAGATCAAGAATCATATCTCAGTTTCCTCAACTATAAAGTGAACTTAGAAATTCTAGGATAAATTTTTTGCTCTGGAATTCAGAAATATATTTAACCATTGCATTTTAGTCAACTAGGTAGCTCTCAAAATGCTTCAATTTGTCGTTTTGACCTGTTTTGTGATATGAATACTTTGGATTATATGTCTGAGAGCTTAGAGAATTAGAACTATAGTCCCTACGGGTAAACTAAAACACATTCTATTCAGCCAATTTACATTTCAATGAAGACAGATTTGAATCTTTTTGTGTGTTTAAATGTTCCATTTTCCTTTGTGAGTTGTATTATGTCTTCTTTGCATGCAGATCTGGATGAATGTTCTAACGGGACCCACCAGTGCAGCATAAATGCTCAGTGTGTAAATACCCCAGGTTCCTACCGCTGTGCTTGCTCCGAAGGGTTCACTGGAGATGGTTTTACCTGCTCAGGTGGGTGAACATCCTGAGGGGTGTTCTGATGTGATTTTCATGGACAACTCTATATATGTTTTCCTTATTTGAAGAAGGCTGTAGTTAGAGGAGGCTGAAATAAATACCTGTTTTTATACTAGACTGAAAGATGAAGGTGTAACTTTCTCTTACTTTGAGCACAAAAACATGAAGAATTTTAGAAAATATTGGTTGAGTGTTAAAATAATGTCATTTGTTAGTATCGTGGTTGTCATTTATTAACATAAGGGTCAAAAACTCAATCTCTGGAGCATACCACCTGCATTTAAGTCCTGACTATTTTGCTTATTGGCCACATCACTCTAAGCAAATTACTTAACCTATCTGACCTTAGTTTCTCTCTTTTCAATGGGCATAGAAATAATACCAATAAAACCTTTTTAAGTCTTTTTTATTTCTTATCACTAAATAACTATTCCAGTTCTTTAAGACATGACCTACTCCAATCATAGCTTTTTAATGCATTTATCAAAATCTCAGTAGCTTATCAGATGGTATTAATAAGATTGAATGGCCTAATAAAAATAAGGGGCTCTGAGATACATGTACTAAGAGATAAAGAATCACAGCTGCTAATCGCCTCATGTTCTTTGAAGAGAAAGCATTCGTTATATACATGCTTGTTTATATGAAACTGGGTCATTTTGCTGGATGGTACCTTTCAGTTTGCAAGATAGGTATATCTCAGCTGATTTTCAGTACACAATTTAACCCCATAATTAAAAGAGAGACTTCATTTTCTTCTAATTACTGACATTAAAAAAACAAATGAACTTATTTTCAAATGCCTCTTTAAGACAACATGTGTTTTTTCTAAGTGCTAACTACTTTTAAACTTGGCATATTGTTATCTTTCCTAACATTTCCATGCACAGTCAAGTAAAGAAAAGGACATGACTTTGGTGTCAGACACCTCTGTAAATCTACTTGGGCCATGTCACATTAGCCTGTGATTCTTCACTCTGGCCTCAGATTCTTCCTCTTGTAAACCTCACAGGATTGGTTAACCAAGCCAAAAATGCATCTCCCATAACTAAGCAAAAAGATGGCAAATATTAGAAACTCAGTAAATATTGCACACATGCACACCCAAACACTCACTCTTTTCCATTTGAGAGAATTAAACAACTTTTCATTCTAGGAAATGCATGCGTGCATAATTAAGATCAGACTATTCAATAAGATTGTAATGACATAAAAGAAATGTTATCCAGTTCCATAAATTGGTACTCATTTAATTAAAACACTTTTATTAGTGAAAGAATGAGTTGTTCATTCTAATACTATAATGTTTTCAAATGAATTAATACCATTTTAAGATTAATTCCAATATTCTTTGGTTATATGTAAATGATGTTGGTATAATATTGATGCATCATCCCATTGGCTGTCAAAGAAACTAAAACAGATTTGCAAGACACCAACATTCTTCATTCTTTCTGTTAATCATATTGGAAATGAATGGCAGGCTATAGATTACTTAGCTCTGCTTTTGAGTTTTAAAAGGAACCCTAGTAGTGTAGTGGCTCACGAACTGGGCTGCTAATCATAAGGTCAACAGTTGAAATCCACCAGCCAATCCGTGGGAGAAAGTTGAGGTTTTCTGCTCAATAAAGATTTGCAGTCTTAGAAACCTTCTACAGGGTTGCTATGAGTCAGAACTGACAAGATGGCACCCTGCAGCAATATCAAGTTGTGTAAATCCTTATTTAGATGAATATGAGTAAGTGTTTTCATGCTAATGAACATGAGCTCAATCTGGGTTGATTTAGTTATAGAGCAAGGGAAGAAAATGTTACGAAATTTGGAACTGTATTAATAGAGATGTAATTTGCTTCTCCCACAGACATTGATGAGTGTGCAGAAAACATCAATCTCTGCGAGAATGGACAGTGCCTCAACGTCCCGGGTGCCTATCGCTGCGAGTGCGAGATGGGCTTCACTCCAGCCTCAGACAGCAGATCCTGCCAAGGTTGGTGGCTGGGATTCCAACTCGTTTTCAAGTTGGATCAGCTATAGCAAATGAAACCACAAAAAGGGCTGGAACAGGCTCCACCTGGAAGCAGAATACACAGCACATGCTGCACATATAAAAGTCATTCATTTAAGCACAGATTATTTTGCCGAATGAATAATGATGAAGGCTTTCATCTCATGAAGTTTTCCTGGCCAAGAGCCAGTAGTTGGAAATTTGGCTCTTTCTTCCTTTCTTTTTCTTTTTTTTAATCCATTTTTTTTTCTTTTTTATCACTAAATAAATGACATGTGGAAAAACTATTCAGCTTTTTAAGCTATGATATATGACCTATCCCAATCATTGCTATTTAATGAGTTTCTTGAATCTTCAGTAGCTATATTTGGCATTTACCTGCATGACGTGTGCTGTGTGTGCACTGGGCTGGAAGTCATGGGATCTTCAGGGACTCATAGTTAGACACCTTTTGCCTAGCAGCAATGTCTCCTTCTAACTTATGATGTCATCTTCCATCTCCTAGAAATGGGGCTTTGTGCCGTGGATTTGGTTCTGACTCATAGCAACCCTGTACAGGGTTTCTGAGGCTGTAAATCTTTATGGGAGCAGAAAGCCTCATCTTTCTACCGCGGAACAGCTGGTAGTTTAGAACTGCTGACCTTAAAATATGCAAATGAGGTTTTGTGCCTAGTATGACATTATCCCTAAAAATGGGATTTAGATTTTCTTTTAAATTACAGACTCAGTTCACCTTTCATAGACTTTTGGACCATCATTTTATTTATAGGATTCATGAAAATGTAAACAAAAGAAAAGAAAAAAGGTTGAAAATTATACACTATTAAGATTTTACAAAACTAGTGATACATAGAAAAATGTTATATACCCCCCCAAAAAAGAATACAGCTGAGCAAAGATTATAAAATGAAGCCATATTAAAGACTGTCTTTTCATTAGTGTTTAAGGATCAGAAATCGTAAATAAGAACACATACACACACAATTCACCAGAAGTGAACAACCAGCAAAAATTATACAACCTAAGGTGGCTAAGAATAGAGCTTAACTTTGCTCTGCCACCAGAACGACACTGAAAAGGAGGTGCCAAAAAGATCATTGAATTTTATATAAATAGCCACCAATTTGGAGTGAATCAGAACAATAAGATGAGTAGAAAAGATGATGTTAAAACTAAAAGCACTGACACACCTACAATTGACCTGCTAAATTGTGCAGACTCTAAGGCATTTTACACAAGGAAACTGTAGCCTTAGCTTCGGTTCTTCTCCAGTTCTGATTTCCTCTTAAGCCCTGAAGCCAATTAGTAGAAAATGTGAGTCAATGTGAATACGGAATTACTTGATTTATGACTAACATCAACTTGACAAGGTGGAAAAGGCACAAGTCAGCAGTAGCTAATCATTTTCTCCAACATAAAATTTCAAGTTACTTCTTTATCCACAAGACAGAATCTCCCCTTTGTGTTTCTAGTCCTGTTTCACGGGAGCGGGTCCTGAGATAGCCCTCTCTAAAACTCTTCTCCAGACCCACTCCTGTGTCATACTAATTACTGTTTACTTTCTTTGCAGTGGAATAGACTGCAACACTTAAATAAACACAAACTGGGATGCTATACAGTAAAAAAAAGCGGCTAGTGGGTTCAAATCCCTGGATTTTGAGTTAGAAGTTGAATGTTTAACCTCTGCACCACCAGGGCTTTCTAGATTTATACAACTCACTTTTAATAATGGCCCTTTGAGCCAGTTCCAACTGATAGCTACCATGTACAGGGTTTCCTAGGAGCATCTGGTAAATTTAAACCTCCGACCTTGTGGTTTTCCTACAGCACCACATTAGTATTCCCAACAAGGGAGTCTTTGGAGTCCCAGTATGACGTTGCAGGACAAGCACTGTGTTGCTAGCTGCAAGGTCAGCAGTTCAAACCCACCAGTAGCTCCTTGGAAACTTTGAACAAGGTCACTATGAGTTGAAACTTTCTCGACAGCACTTAACAACAATGAGTCTTTATTCTTAAACTTGAAAAGAAATCCACTGCCCATTGATTTGAACTTTTAAAGAATTTGAATCATGCCATAAGTCTTAAGTAATTAAAAGGCAATATTTAAACTACTACAAATGGCCAGAACTGTGGCACTGTGGGTTAATGTGCCAGACTGCAAAGCCATTTGAACTGCAAGGCAAGGTCGGCAGTTCAAGCTCATGAGCCACTCCTTGGAAACCCCTATACAGGGTCACCATGGGTCGGAACCGACTCGACGGCACTTCACAACAACAACAGCAATGTCCAGAGAGCTTATTAGACTTAAATATAACCATTTCAAGACAGTAGCTTAGGATGGATTATCTAGTCCAGCCTAAAATAATATGCCTGGCTGCATTTTCAGAAAATTAGCTTATTTGTGCTCAAAACTACCCATTCTCTTCCTATGAGCAAAAATGGAGATCTTGCAACAGAACAGCTGTACCACACATTTTTGAGTGAGGAATGATAACTTTTTATTTATTGATCTTGATTCAGAACCTCATGGTAGAATTTCTGACTTGAGTTTAATAGAGATACTTCAATGAAACTTACAAGAATATGGATGGATATTCTTTATTACATGTTATTAAGGAGAAAAAAATGTTTTATAAAATCTAAGATAAACTAAAAAAAAACATCGTAATGATACTTTTAATTTTGAAAGTTTATATTGTATATGGCTGTTTTTTAACCTACCGATTCTACAACATCTTCTCCTTGAACTATTTTACTAGAAGATGTGAAGTTTTAAAAAAAGAAATTTATACTTTGATTCATTTTGATAGATTTCACATTTCATATTTAATTTTTGTTATTATTTTGTTTTAAGCCAACTCTTTATTTAAATGTATCGTAATTCCAGAAACATATTTTACCAATAAAATAATATTTCTTTTACATCTTAGTTAAAGTAAGCTTATCACTCATTTTTTGTCATATAGTTGACTTCCCTAGCCCCCTCCAAAAATGTTAACTGCATGAAAACATCTGAGATAGAAACATTCACTAATATTATACAGTAAAGCTAACTTTTAAAACTATCCTAATAAGGTTTTCTGTTTCATCTCCAGATATTGATGAATGTGCCTTCCAGAATATTTGTGTCTTTGGAACATGTAATAATTTGCCTGGAATGTTTCATTGTATCTGCGATGATGGCTATGAATTGGACAGAACAGGAGGGAACTGTACAGGTATGGCCAACTAAGGGCATAATTATGTCCTGATTAGTTGAAGTGAATATTCTATCCTAGGTATGAGAATTCCTCCACTTTCTGCTTAGCTAAATTATATGTTGGGTTATGCATTTATTCTTTTCCTTTTTTTTTTTTTTTAACATTGTGGTTTAGGTGAAAATGTACAGAGCAAATTATTTTCCCATTCAGTAGTTGATACATATTTTGTTTCTTGACACTAGTCGCACACCCCTCAGTGTAACAAACAGCTCTCTTCTTGTTTTTTAACTGGGTTCCCTGTTTCCATAAACATATCTTTCTTGCCCTTTCCTGCCTTCTGAGTTTTAGTTTTGGGCAAATTCTGCCTTTTTGGTCCTTTTGGTTGTTTTTTTCTGAGATGCATGTTCTTTAACTGTGATACTGTTCACTTTATGGGCTAATATTTGGCTGAAAGATGATCTCTGTAAGTTGGTTTATTTCATTTGCAGGTCTTAGTCTTGGGGGGGGGCAGGGGGGGTCCACCTATCTCTGTCAGACCAATAAGTAATGCTGTTGAATCTTATTCTACCTATTTCTTCAACTCTTCCCAGGACCTTCTACTTGATCCAGGTCAAAGTGGTGGGTAGGGGTAGCAAGGCACCATCTAGCTCTTCTCTTCTCAGGCTAGTGAAAGCTGAAGGTTCTGTGGGCCATTAGTCCTCTGGACTAATTCTTTCCTTGAATCTTTCATTTTCTTCATTCTTCTTTGCTCCAGACAGGGAAAGACCAATAGTTGTATCTTAAATGGCTATTTACTAGCTTCTAAAAAACCTCAGGGTTATAGGGTTTTTCTTTTCTTTTCTTTTTTTTTTTGTTTGCTTGTTTGTTTGTTGTTGTTTATTATAAAGAAAATTATATCCAGTATTATACTCAGTCATGGAATTGATCTTGGTTGACATTAATCAACTTCTATGTAAATAAGTGATTATCAAATATATTACATGAAACTAGGAAATTATTTCTTCATATATGTATATGAATGCATATGTGTGTGTGTGTGTATATATATATATATATATATATATAGTTTTAGTGAAGCAAATAGTGACATTTTTTCCCTCAGAATTGTATCATTTCTCTATTAAGCATATTAAATAAGCTTAGTATAGTAACTGTATGTTTCATCTATGAAACATGTTTTGGGTACATACAAGTATTTAAAATGGACTTTGAAGTGAAATGGTTCATTCTAGTTTGACCCCTCCTGAGAATTTGCATTTCCACCCTAGATATACTGAATCAGGATCTACATTTTAGCAAGATCCTCAGGTAATTGTATACATAAGACTCACCTGGGAATCTGTAGGAATCAGGACAATGTAGAACTGCCCCATAGAGTGTCCAAGGCTATAAAACCTCACAGAAGCAGACTGCCACAGTCTGCTTCAATGAGTTGGAACTGCTGACCTTTTCGTTTAGCTGGCAAGTATTTAATCACTATACCCCCAGGGTTTCTTGACTTATAAATAGTCCACCAAATTCTTATGAACCACAGAATGCCGAGTGAAATTAAAGAAGGTAATGTGGACATCTTAAAATGTTTTTCCTAGATATTGATGAGTGTGCCGATCCCATAAACTGTGTCAATGGTCTATGTGTCAACACACCTGGTCGCTATGAATGTAACTGTCCCCCTGATTTTCAGCTGAACCCCACTGGTGTGGGCTGTGTGGGTAAGTAAAACCAACATGAACCAAACAAACAGAATTAGATAGAGCTGAATATTCAAATTTTTGTAGCAACAAACAGGCAATAAATGTTGGCTACAATTAATTTAAAAAAAGAAATAGAAACTAGATTGCATAGCACTGTATGATCATCTGTATCATATTTATCTTACAAAGTATATTTTGAAATGGGGATTTTAAAGGAATATGATCCAACCTCTCCCAGACTTAGAAACCAAGAATCAGAAAGAGACAGAGACTTGTTCAAGGTCACAGAGCTGGCACATGGACAGGACTGAGGCTATATCCCAAATTGGCTGCTCCTCGTCAAGTGATTGAATCCCCCAGGGCAGCCCAGTGTGCTATAGCTAATACAATACTCATTTATCTCTCTCTTTTTAAAAGTTTTATTATATCTTGAGTGGATGTTTACAGAGCCAGATCATCATTTTTACATTCCACAAATCATACACTGTTTCATCTCAATGATTACAGTACCATCAATGTAACATCATTTACTCTACTTGTTACCATTCTTGCTTCTTTCCCAACCCTTCTGAACTGTGTCCTTAGGTAAGTGCTGCCCTTTGGATCTCAAATGGTTGGCCATTCTATGGTGTGAGTACCTCATTGGTGTTGTTAATCCACCCTGTATACCCAACAACAAAATGATAAAAAGAAAGGAATTGTGGATAAAGGGATTTCATTAGCCAAACCCTTGTAGCGAGAGAAGCTGGGTGATGGGGAAGAAAGAGGAATGCTTTAATAAAGGTTATTAGTATTTCTTCTCAAAATTCCTATAGCATCTCTGAATGTTAGAAAATTAATGACCCTTTTGTGAGTGTTTAGGGTCTTAATGTGGTGTGTAGGGTAAACGCTGGACTTACCCACAGGTTTACACTTCAGACTCAGAAGCCACTCCTCAGACCTTATACAGGGTCATCCTGAATCTGAACTGAGTCAATGACACTTAACAACAACAGCAAATGAATGTTTGCTCAGAGGAGGAAATGGTCTGGAAGTATCCTGAGAGAGTACCAAAATGAAAAATGAAAATTCTTTGCTTCAATAGATATCAGTCTGCAGTCTTCAGTTACTTTTCCTTTGTACCTGCTATAAGTGCAGAGAAAACTTTGTCACTGTATACACACTTCATATATTTTCAAGTTTCACAGAAAATCTTAGTCAGGATTTATGGCTATTCAACTTCAAGTTTTGACTCTTTATTCAAAATCATTCAATAAGTATTGAGTACCTTCACCAACTGGAGCTTGTGGGTTCAAACCACTGACTTTTCAGTTAGCAGCCTAATGCTTAACCCACTGAACCAGAAAGTCTCCTTTAGAAAACAAACATTAAGAAGACTAGATCATTTGGAGTGTTGGCGGGATGTTGGCCTCAAGGAGCCCTCTGTTGTGCTGACCGAAATGTAGATCAGAGCAGCCATCTGGAGAATTATCTTGCACTATGTGGAACAGCCAAGAAATCAAACGACATATTGCTTTTGGCAAATCTGCTGAACAAGTACTTTTTAAAGTGTTGAAGAGCAAAGATGTCAGCTTGAGGACTAAGGTGTGCCTGACCCACGCCATGATATTTTCAATAATGTCATATGAATATCAATAACGTCATATGAATATGCAAGTTGGACAGTGAATAAGGAAGACCGTAGAAGAATTGATACTTTTGAGTTATGGTGTTGGAGGAGAATATTGAAAGTGCCATGGGCTGCCAAATGAACAAACAGATCTGTGCTAGAAGAAGTGCAGCCAGAGTGCTCCTTGGAGGCCAGGATGGCGAAACTTCGAATCGCATGCTTCGGACATACTGCCGAAGGGAGCAGTCACTGGAGAAGGATCTCATGTTTGGTAAGGTGGAGGGTCAGAGAAGAAGAGGAAGACCCCAGCGAGATGGATTGGCCAAGTGGCAGCATCGATGGACTCAAGCGTGGCAACAGCAGTGAGGTTAGCCCAGGATCGGGTAGTGTTTCGTTCTGTTGTCCATAGGGTCACTATGAGTCAGTACTGGCTTGATGGCATCTAACAACAACATGTTGTTGATGTATGGCGTATAGTCAGTTCTGATTCATAACAAATCTGTAAGACAGTATAACGTCCCCATCAGATTTCCCGTGATCCTTGTAAGGGCAGATTGTCAGATTTCTCCTGAGGATCCACTCAGCAGGTTGGAACTACCAGCCTTTCCGTTAGTAGCTGAGCATTTAACGTTATACCATTGGACTCCTCTGTAGTACTCAGATTTGAATGCAGTCAATTTTAGATTTGAATTTTCTTGTTGGAGCAATTCTGTTTTGTAGACTGATATTTCATGTCTTTTGTTCTTTCTTAGAGGTCTTTCAAAGAACAGAAACTCACTCACTCTATTTGCAATTTCCATGTTGAATCCTTTTATATTAGGTGTATTAGAAAGTTAATGATCTTATTTTTAACACAACTTGAAACATTTTGCTATTTCATCATTACTCATAATGCCCAGTGATGATTAAAAAAAAAAAAAAAAATGAGGAAACCTAAAACTGTGGCATCAGTAGAAGGATGGTACAATATTTAAATAAAATGTCCTTGTGGTATCACCCTTCCATTTTCTTGTGATGTTTCAAAAGAAGACTGTAAACACTGTATTTGGAATTTTTCTTATTTAGAATGCATACGTCTTCTTTTTCTGCTCATATGACAGAGGAAAACTGACAGTGGAAAATATTTCTCAATCATTAAATGAACCAGAAGGTGAATAACAGTGAGACAGAGAAAAGCACTCTAGTCTAGATGAAGTTGATGAAATCGAGTCTATAAGCAAAATCCAGCCTATCAGTCTTATATGCCAACACAATAGATGACTTTTCTCAAACGCAATACTTAATGAATAAACAACACATTTCTATTGACAAAAAACATATGATAGTCTTATCTACTTAATCAATAGGGTGTGCAGTTTCTGGGAAGCAAGACTTTAGCTATGTCAGGTTCCTGTAATCTTTTATCCTGTATGCAAAGGTTGTATAACAACATTTAATTGATAGGGTTTAAGTAGACAAGTGATGAAAGCAAGTTTGCATACAAACATTAATAGAAATTAATGAAATAGAAATAAAAGAAAATCAGTGGATCCTTACAATATTGTTATTGTATAAATCAATTACACTATTGTTATGACTTTGCCATCAAGTTATTTTCTGACTATGACTATCCCATGTGCATAGAGTAGAACTGCTCCATAGGATTTTCATGGCCTCTGGATGATTCTGACTACCAACCTTTCAGATAATTTTTGTTGTTGTTAAGTGCCATTGAATTGTTTCCAACTAATAGCAACCCTGGGAGTCCTGGTGTGGTACTGTGGGTTAATGCACCAGACTGCAAAGCTCTTTGAACTGCAAGGTCGGTGGTTCAAGCTCACCAGCTACTCCTTGGAAACCCTATACAGGATCGCTATGGGTTGGAATCGACTCGACGGCACTTGAAATGGAACGCATCAACATCGATATCTTAGGCATTAGTGAGCTGAAATGGACTGGTATTGGCCATTTTAAATCTGACAACCACATGGTTTACTATGCAGGGAATGACAAATTGAAGAGGAATGGTGTTGCGTTCATTGTCAAAAAGAACATATCCAGATCAGTC